AGCACAGTCTCTGAAGCCAAGCATAACTGGACTTAAATCCTATCTCTACCAATTCCCAGCTGTGTGATCTTGGGAAAAGATCCTGTGAGCCTCAGTTTTCTCTGCTAATAGTAACCACTAGGCAATTACTCTGATTTAAAACAGGTAAATTGTGTGGCACATACTAAGCACACTCAACAAATGTTGGTGAAACAAAAGGGGGACATCTTATTATCTTTCCTTATCCTCCCCCACCCCACTCCATCTGTCCAGAAAGACAGCAGGTTTGACAATGGTCAGCAGCTTGGGAAGAGAAATGCTTCAGAAGCCCTGAGTGGGTATGCAAGCTGGAAGCAAATGCTGAATTGCTCTGGAAAAAATGAGGAGCATGTTTTTTTGGAAAAGTTGTGCAGAAGAACGGAAGAGGAGACATAAGATAGACACAAGGGAGAAGACTTTGGGGGGTGGGTAGAGAAATGATGGAATTTTACAAAGTTTCTTCTGTGAGGTATGCAAATCATTCTTTCCATCTCCCCATGGAAGGTCCAGTAAAGCCTCCTCTTCTATTTCATGCAATGAGGAGCTGGGTCTTTTGGGGGATGCAGTGAGAGAATGAGTTTGACTTCAAGGATATAGAGCAACCAGGCCATACACAGATTTGGTCTTCTGAGTTATGTTACTATAGAGTGTGATCCAAACTTCAGTGGGCAAGAACAAGAACCTTACCAAATTTATTTTTCAAGCATCCCCCCACTCCCCACCACTACACCAGGCAGGCAGAAAATGTTAACATGGGACTTTCTCAAAGTCTCTTTCCCACCTTTCCAGTTATGTGGTGCCAAGAGACTCCGGGAGGCTCCATCCTGTTTCTGCAACAAACACCCAAGCAAGTATGGCTGAGCTCCCCTGCCTCCTTTAGGCTGCTGGCCCTGCCCTGGGGCAAGGGAACCCTTCTTCAAAACCATCGTGGTATGGATTTTCTAGCAGGATCTATAGGCTTTGCCTTGCTGGGTAGCTTCTGCTCCTCCTCCCCCCACCCTGATGGAGATAAAAGGGGACATGACTTTTCCCTCCCAGATTCTGGCTATGACAGTTTGTCTATAATTCGATTCTCTCTTTTAGTGATTTTTACCGGCTTCTAAGTTCCCCTGTAGACACAGGCTTTGACACACCTATTGTCTGCTTTCCACTTGGCCCCAGTTTCACAGTCACTTGCCTGGAGTGGGGAGGGTGGGGGCTGGTGGAGAAGACATCTTCTCTGGTCTGTACAGAGATACCTACTTTATTCTCCATACTCGCTGCATAGTAGATGGATGATTCCATAATTTTTGTTTGTGTTTGTTTTTAATCAACTCACGGTTGATTGGGGCTATTGAAAAGGTTAATTTCTTGAAATATCACCCCACTCTATTGCATCACCATTATCATCCTGATGACCCCACCTGCCATGGCCACTGACACACTTGATTAGATAAAGACAGGGCACTGGAGCGTCTGGGTGGCTTGGTCAGTTAACTGTGTGACATATGATTTGGGCTCAGGTCACCATCTCAGGGTCCTGGGATCAAGCTCCCCCTCAGGCTCCATTGTCAGTGGGGAATCTCTTGTGTGTGTGTGTGTGTGTGTGTGTGTGTGTCTCAAATAAATAAATAAATAAATAAATAAATAAATAAATAAATCTTAAAAAAAAAAAAAAGGACAGAGCACTATAGCCTGAATAACACTGGGGTTGGAAGGTACTTTTTTGGAAGGTTCTCGCCAAGGCTTTTCCTGAACAAAGGAGGGGAGGGGCCCTGCCTGCGGCCACACCCACCCAGTAGATGCGCGGGCGCAAGAATTCAGGTCTCTGACATCCATCCCAGGTTTCCCATTTTGCCAGGAGAAAGGCTGGGCGTCCTCGAAGGGGAAGACCCGAGCTCAGAGCAGCTCTGTGGGGTCTCTAATATAGAGACTCCTCTTGGAGTCCCCCCCCCCATCAGAAGCTTGCAGGCTGTTGGAAGTGGGAAAGCCTGGACCCAGCGCCTCCCCACAGAGACATGTGTAGCTCTGTGTCTCCTGTTGTAGAAATAAATGGTTTCATGCTACACAGGCTGCTCCACATCTATGCCTTGGACATCTTTCATGTGTACCGTCCCAGTATTCCACCGTATAAATAATACCATGGGCTTTGCTTGATTTGTTTTAACCAGCCCTCCACTGAGGAACACTCAAATTGCTTCCAAGATTATAATACACGAAGTCCTTCTGGGGCCTCCTTGTAAACTGGACTCCACACTTTCCAAAATAACCCTAGTACCCGCATGGTGGGCAGTGTGACGAGTGTCCTCTCTATAAAGCTAGGTGCAGGAAGGTTGGAATTTGGTCACAGTCACACGGCAGCTTTGTGCTGGAGATGGCAATCGTGATGCCGCATCCAGTCTCCAGAGCTGACACTCTTCGTCTCAGCCCATGATCCCTTAAGTCCTTTACACGTGGCTCCAGCTTGGGTTGAACATGGCCTTTGGTTTATGTCAAATGGTCCAGAAGAGGAAAGTGTGTGGGTTGTGCCAAGCACTGCATGCCAAATGTCAAGGAAGGGACAGACCACTACATACTATTCATTGACTGAGGGTGTCCCATGTGGGGACCCCCAGAGGATGAAGTAGCCTGGACTATCTTCCTGGCTTACAAAGCTTATTTATACCTGTGATCTCATTTGACTCCTCTGGGGTGTATATTATTATCTTCCTCGTTTAGAAAGGAGGAAATGGATGCACAGAATAATCACTTGTCCAACGTCACACAAGAGCCAGGACTGGGGACTTGTTCTTTAAAAATACATATATTATCACCACTGAAAGGAAAAATAGCATTCCTGAAGGTGTGAAAAACTGAAATTGCAGCTACAAAAATAAAATGGCAGCCTCAGAGAAAGTTTGAAGAAAAGAACTTGGAACAACAATAAAAAAAAATTTTTTTTGATCTTGTTAGCTGACCATGGGCACATCATCCCATCTCTGTGAACCATGGTCATCTAGGTCTTGAATGGTCGTAATAGTAATAATAACACGGCAACAGTAGCTGACATACACTGCACTCTGCTCTAATGCAAAAGCCATTTCCATTTCTGAGCTTCCCCTGCAGACTTGCATTCAAACATATTTATTTATTTATTTATTTATTTATTTATTTATTTATTTATTTATTTATTTTTCAAACATATTTAATATGACTATTCTCACAGGAAACACACAATTTTGTTTCCTGGTTTTTCACCTGGTATTATCTCATAAGTTTTTTCCACGTGGCTACATGGACCTTTTCAGAGGCTGTATCACCCAAATTAATGAACTGCTGCGGGTGTTGGACAACTTGCTGCCACCAAGTTTTCACTATTTTGGTGCATACGGGAGGAAACGTCTTGCGGCTTCAGACGTTTCAGAAAGTCAGATTATCTGAGGCCTTTGGACCTCTGCTTTCCCCAGGCTGTTCCCCCAACCCCACCTGCCCTTTGCCAGGGTGCTCGGTTCTGCTCTCACCTCTCCCAGAGCCTGAGGCAGAACTGGGGCCTTGCCTGACAGCGTCTTATAGAGTCTAGAGGACTCAAAGCGGTCTCAGAACGGACTCTGAGAAGCTGGAAAAGGGCTGAAAAGAGTTTTCCCTTGGTGACCCCCAGCCCCTCCTGAGAACATGTGTATTTATCCTCCATGTCCCTAACTCAGGGAATTCTTCTAAAACCCAATCTAAAATCCCATTTTTCCTCTTTCTTCTTAGGTCCTATACTTTTTTTGGCCAAGGAGCTGTGAGAATCTTTCCAAAGGCATGGGAATGCATTACATTGTCTTCATAATTTCACCAGGTCTTTCATCTCCCCAAGCCTGTTGGTATCAGGTTAAGGATACAGCTGAGGGTGACATTTGCTTTTTCCACCCCTCCTGGCTGCTTCCCTTGCTTTCCCTGGATTTAGTTCCTTAAGTGCCTCTTTTTCAGCCTTGGGCGTGGACCCGTTCTACACATTCACCTGACAGTCGCTGGAATGTTTTGTTGTTGTTTTAAGATTCCATTTATTTTTTCATGAGAGAGAGAGAGAGGCAGAGACACAGGCAGAGGGAGAAGCAGGGTCCACGCAGGGTCCCCGTGATGCGGAACTGGATCCCAGGTCCCCGGAATCACCACCTGAGCCAAAGGCAGACGCTCAACCACTGGGTCACCCAAGCGGTCCCATCGCTCAAATGTTCTAATGTCTAGATGCGCCCTGAGGGAGACGGGTGGGGCGTGAAGGAGCGGATCCGAGGAGCCGGGTTCAGTTATGCTTCCCCCCGTGCTGGCGGTGAGACCTCGGGTGGGTCAGCCGAGGGACCTCTCTGAGCCTCGACTGCCTCATCAGAACTATGGGAGAAACCATCACCTGCGCTTAGCAGCGGTGTCGGTGTTGAGCGATCCCCTTAGCGACAGCGCTGGATACGCCGCGAAGCACCTGGGAGCGCCCCGCGCGTGGCACCACTTTTGGAAAATATGCAAAGTGCTCCCCACCCTGATGATCTCCCCTGCTTCCCCCACGCACGTGGGGGGCCAGACGGCTTGCCCCACCCCGCCCCCGCCAGGACCCTCCGATCCCACCGCGGCCCGCGCCAAGCCCAGGGGCGCCCACATCCCAGCCCGGGGCAGCGCCTCGGCCTCCAGGTGCGACCGCGCCCCAGGGGCCCCCTCGGACCCTCCTCCCCTCGCCCCCCGCCCCCCGGACTGGAGCGTGCGCACCCGGCCAGCCTGCCTCCCCGCGGGGCGCAGCACACGCGCGCGGCGGGGCTTTCCAGGCGGCCCCGGCGCCTCTGGGCGCGCGGCGGTCACAGCTGCACGGGGTCCCCGCGGCCCCGCCCCCCTCCGGGCAGGTAGCGGAGCGAGGGCGGGGCGGGGCGGGGCGGGGCCGCGGGGGGCGGGGGCCGGGCGGGAGGGGCTGGCGGCCGGGCTGGCGGCCGGGCGGGCGGGCGCCCGGAGGCGGCGGCGGAGGCCCGGAGGCGCGCGGAGCCAGCCGTAGCCGCAGCCGCAGCCGCAGCCGCAGCCGCAGCCGCAGCCGCCCCGGGCCGCGCCGCCATGCCCTTGGCCTTCTGCGGCAGCGAGAACCGCTCGGCCGCCTACCGGGTGGACCAGGGCGTCCTCAACAACGGCTGCTTCGTGGACGCGCTCAACGTGGTGCCGCACGTCTTCCTGCTCTTCATCACCTTCCCCATCCTCTTCATCGGTGAGCGCGCCCGGGGCGGCGGAGGGGAGGGCACCGGCGGGGAGGAGGGGGGGAGGGGAGGAGGGGCAGGGGAGGGGAGGGGAGGGGGAGGAGCGCGCCGCTCGGCTCTCGCCCCCCCCGCCCCCCGGCCCCGCGCCCGCCGCCCCCTCGGTCCCGGGGTCCCCGCTGGGTGTGCTAGCCCGCGGTCCCCGCACCTGCCCATCCCCTCTCCTCCCGAGGTGGCCCCCGAATCCGCATCGAATACAGCGGACGCTCCCGACCCGGGGGACCCCCAAGTTTCCCAGCGCGGAGCCAGAGGCAGAGGTTTCTGGGGGCGCTGGAGCGGTCGGCGGGGCTCGGGCCGGCCCCCCGCAGCGCTGCGTAGGGAGCCAGGACACCGCCCCCAGGCACCCTTCCTGTCCGCTGAAGCCGGGCCCGGCGGAGCGCAGCCGCCCGCGGGAGCCGGGCTGGAGGCCCTGTGCACCTGCTTCCCCGGGCTGAGCCACGCCTGTGGTCGGTCAGTAGCTTCCGACGCCCCAGCGGGTCCGGGCGCCCTGGGCGGGGAGAGGCAGGAGCCAGGGACTTGGGTCCCCTTCCGCTGCTACCCCACCCGAGTCTGCGTCCCTGCCGGAAAGCCCGCTGCAAAGTTGGGCACCGCTGTCAGGACCATCCTAGGCGCCCCTTCACTTGGGAGCCCTTCTTCTCTCTTTCAGACCTTGAATTTCCCAGGCTAGCTAGAGCTCTGTCAATTCATATGGTGTGCCCCGCCTCTGTAAAACTTGTTAATTCACGCTAATTAAGATTTTTTTTAAAAAAAGCAAATTTTAAGATTCATACACAGCTCTTGGGAAGAAAGGAAAAATTGTCCCAGAATTTAAAAGGGAAGGATGAGAGAGGCGGAGATGCTACTAATTATTGACAAAGACAATCAGATATAGGGAGGGAGCATGTGTAACTTATGCTTGTATGGGTATCCAAAATTGTACCAGCATTTACACTTCCGTTCTCAAACAAATGGTTTATTTACATGATCATTTGTCATATAAGAGGTCAGCATATAAAATGAGTACTTGCACAGGTGGCCCTGCATGGATCTAGGCTTCATGCTTGGACATTTAGGTCACATGTACCAGATTCAGGCACTCTCATGCACAGGTATACAAATGGGTACACTCCCCACTGTGGACCCATACATAAGCACCCTGCTGGGGTTCATGCACCCCTCCCTGGTGACCCAGGCTTCCCACCTCTTCCTGCCTCTACTTGCAGGATGGGGCAGTCAAAGCTCCAAGGTACACATCCACCATAGCACATGGCTCCACTTCCCTGGGCACAACCTGCGCTGGATCCTGACCTTCATGCTGCTCTTTGTCCTGGTGTGTGAAATCGCGGAGGGCATCCTGTCTGATGGGTGAGTGTCTCAGGAGAGTGGATGGGTCCCAGGGTGCTTCCTGCAAGCTAAGGGAGACCCCAGCTCACCTGCATTCCATGAGGCAGTAACACCTGCTAATAAATCCAGTAACTGTTTACCTAACATCTCCCATGTGTCAAGCTCTCTGTGCCAGATACTGGATACAAGTGAGACCCAGGCCACGGCCTCAGTGTTGCAGGGTAGAGGGAATATGGATCTGCATGCCAAGACCCCGTGAAACAATCCTAGAGCATCATAGAATGCCCCAACTCCATGGGACGTCTGGGTGGCTCAGTGGTTGAGTGTCTACCTTTGGCTCAGAGCCTGATCCCAGGGTGCTGGGATCAAGTTCTGTATCAGACTCCCACAAGGAGCCTACTTCTCCTTCTGCCTATGTCCCTGCCTCTCTGTGTCTCTCATGAATAAATAAATAAAATCTTTAAAAAAAAAAAAAAAAGATTGTCCCAACCCCTGGAGTTACCATCTTGGGAAGAATAAAAATCACTCTTGCTTGAGACCTTTCCTTGCTTCCCAATGTTTCAGGGTCCCAAGTGCTCAGCCTGACATCTGGGGTCCTCACAGCCAGCACCCCTCACTGTCTAGCCTCAGTCCCAAGGCCTCCCCTCCCCTACCTGTCCTCTGGGCCTCCCAGCACACTCCTCACACCGCTGCTACAACACAGATCATACTGTATTTAGTTTATGTCTAGTTGCAAACCTGTCTCCCCCTGGGTAAGAAAGGCCTCAGAGTTGGATTTTATTCATCTTTGTAATAAGAGCACAAGGCAGGTGACAAAGCTCCATGGACACTTTTTGGCTCTGAAAGAGATTAAACAAAATAGTGGTAAGAGTGAGACCTCTGGGAGGAGAGAGGAAGGCAGGGCAGGCCAAGCTTCTTGGTTGAGGGGACTTCTGAGCTGAGTCTGGAGGAGTGACAAGGGTTCTGACAGCAGAGGAGTTTGGAGAGGGAGGGCCAGGGAGGCAGGGGGAGGAGAAGTAAAGGCAAGGGAAGGAAAGCAGGTTGGGGCGGGAGCAAGTGCTTGGAGGCTGAAGCAGGAAGCACTTGCAGGGAAGCGCTGGGGGTGGGGGCTTGGAGATGGTATTGGGAGCATCTCTAGGAGGGCTTCGGATGCCAGGCTGTGTCTGGGTTGGATTTTGTCAGCAGTTTGGAACAGAAGAGACGCGTGGTCAGCTCAGTACTAAGCAGGGTCCAGGGCAGGCTGGAGGCAGCCAGAGGCTGGAGTTAGAGCACCTAGGAGGTGATTGCCGTAGGCTAGATGAGAGGTAAGTGCAGCCAGGAGTGGTGTGTCAGCAGTGGGGGTGCGGAGGAGGAGGAGATGAAGCCAGAAGCCACCATCTCGCGGAAGAAGGCTCCGTGACTGCCCGGGTAAGGGGGTGGTAGAGGGTGGAGGGCATTTGGCTAAAATATCAGAGGTCCAACCACTCTGAGCTGGACAGCAGGGGGATGGGGTCCCCACACGCTACCTCACCCTCCCGCCCCCAATGTCCCTGCATGCTGACTCCAGTAGTAATCTCTGCTTGCCTTGGGGCTCCTCCTGGTTATCCAAGTCCCCCAGACCAGCAAGAACACCAGAAGGCATGCTGCCACATAAGTAGCAGGTGACAAATCTACCTCCCACCTCCCACCCCCATCTAGACGCCCCTTCCTAAGCAGCACAAATGCTCCAAAGGGGAAAGATGCCTGTGAGTCCTCGGGCCAGAAATTCTCATTGGGTTATAACTAGTGAGGTGGCAGAGAGGAAAACACCCAGAGAGGAAAACAGCTCATCTGCTGGCACTTCTACGTACCAGCCAGAGGACTTTGGGGCAGCCACTCAGCCTTTCTGGGTCTTTTTTTCTCTACCTGTGAAATGATCATCATAATCCCTGCCTTGCCTGCTTCACAGGGCCATGGAGGATGAAATTAGAGCACAGATGGGGTGCAGAAATGGAATGGCCAGAGCTCTGGGCAGATAGGACATTCCCAGAATGTGGGAGACTGGAATGAATCAGGTCAGGAACTCCCTCCTGCCTGCTGTCAGCAGCCCCTCCTGTGTGGGGCTGCATCTGTATCCCGTATCTCCCCCAGCTCAGTGCAAACTGCCATTTCCTCCCCAGCGAGCAGGTTGGCTATTGAACTGGACACTTGACACCTGGTCTTTATTGGCCTCCATCTGTGTGCCCATGCCCCTGGGCAGGCAAGCATGAAGAAGGGAGCAGACAGGAAGAGAAGCCACAGATCCTGCCCTGGGGCACCCCCTGTGCCCTGTGGCCTGGGTTTACAGACCCACCTGGAAGTCTAGGTGCAGGAGGCCGTGGGGGCTAGTTACAGCAGTGGTCTTCAAACTCTAGCTAAGTTTAGGGTAAGCCCCATTTAGTGATTAAGTAAGGCATCTTAGCATTTGTAGGGCTTCCTGTCTTCCTTTGGGTATTATTTTTGTGTGATGCTCCGAATTTAGAACAACCAAAGCAGTGCAAGTTACAGAGGAAACACTTTTTTTAGCAATATAACTAGAATGTTTTCCTAGATCATCATACACTGGAAAAAAACCCATACATAAGACTTTTACCTAATTTCTAACCTAATTTAGTGTGTATTATTCAGCAAAGCAGCCCAAGTCTATTTTGTTAAGTCATGTCATGAAATATTTATTTCAGCTATGGGTATTCTTCATCCTATTTAATTATATTAAATATTTATCATTTCTGCCTCCTATTGCAAAAACTGAATTTATTCAAACTCTCATCTAATATTTAAGATGTCACTTAAAAATCTGTGAGGCAATATAGTTTCTCAGAGACTTATTCCAAGAGATACAAAGGCAGGAGTTTTGAAGACCCCTGCACAGGGTGTTGGCTCTCCCAGTGACCCCACTAGTCACTGATGGCCTTGTGCATCCTGTATAAGTCTTTTGCTGAGAATGCCCACCAAGGCTTAAGGAATATCAACATTTATGGCCTCATTTAACAAGATATTTAGAGATTGCCTCTCTAGTCAGTTTGGTGTCATAGGGATGTCGTCAGGGACCCAGCCTCTTGCCATCTTTCTACATCATCTTCTGTGTGTCCGGCCTATCTTTCCCCATGGTCACAAGACAGCTGCCCAGCTCCAGGTATCACTTAGGGAGGAAGGCAAGGGCAAAGGAGACCAGCTCCCACATGCCTCTTCTTTTTTTTTTTTTAATTTTTTTTAATTTATTTATGATAGTCACACACACACACACACACAGAGAGAGAGAGAGAGAGAGAGAGAGGCAGAGACATAGGCAGAGGGAGAAGCAGGCTCCATATACAGGGAGCCCGATATGGGATTCAATCCCGGGTCTCCAGGATCGCTCCCAGGGCCAAAGGCAGGCGCCAAACCGCTGCGCCACCCAGGGATCCCACCACATGCCTCTTCTTTATGCAGGATATCATCCTCTGCAGACTCTCCTTTGCATCTCATTGGTCAGAATTGAGTTTTATGGCCACCCTTAGACCAATCACTGGCAAAGGGGTGTGGGATTGCATGGCTGCTTGAACCAATCACCATCTATTCCCTAGGGTTGGACTCACTGCTGCTGGAACAAATGTGTGGTTCTTTTAGCAAACCAGGAGGGGAGCCCATAGTGCCTCTACACCTGTACGCTAGTCCTACTGGACTACTTAGGGCCCCCACATGGCTCTCCTCATGTCCTCCCTCCTTCTCTGTTGAACTCTCCATCCTTCAAAATCCAGCCTGGAGCCACCTCCTCTGTGAAGTTTACCTTGGTTGTCTGCTCACTCCTTGTGCTCTCAGCCTTCAGACCATCTCCAATAACACTTCCCTAGACTGCCTGGGTAGACAGCTCCGAGCATGGTTGCCCCCTCCCTATGCTCAGTTTCTTGAGGGCAGGGATGCTTGGCATGCTAGATAGAAGGAGCAGTGCAAGCAAGGGCATCCTTGAGGCAGGAGATTGCAGGGGGCCTTCTGGGAATGGAGGGGGTCCCAAAAGGCTTCAGCAGGAAGAGCAGGTTGGGCAGTGCTGAAAAAGTGCCTTGAGGACATCTCACCTGGACCTTTGGTCCCGGGCTGATCAGTGTGGATTTTGGCTTCTGTAGGAGGGAGCCGTGGAGGGGCACAGTCAGGCCAGTTAAGGTGAGCTTCCTCACCAGTCCTGGGAAAGCCTGACGTCAGAGAGAGCTGGGGCTCCCTACAGATCCTGTCACTAGAGCAGACTGCACCCACCCCCGGGGCCTCTGTGAGTTACACTGGGGAGGGGATGTGCTGGTATTGGCCTCCATCACCATCTCAAGGGAGGAAACAAAACCGGCGACCTTGGGCTTGTTACTTAGCCTCTCCACGCCTGCGTTTCCTCAACTGTAAAATGAGGAGGCTAAGAGGACCAACTTCGTGGGATCTCATGATGATTAAGTGAGTTCATATACATCACGTGCTTAGAACAGTGCCTGGCGCAGGGTAAATGCTCGATAAATATTGACTACAGGGCTGTCATTACACCACCTGGGGCCGGGTGTCAGTGCTGACTTATACTGTTCATGTTAAGTGCAGCTGTCCCTGAGAGAGTTGGGGTGCACAGGCCCCCCGTACTGCCCAAGGGACCCCAGGGCAGGAACCCAACTGTGTTCACTCCCAGGGAAGTGGTTCTAGGCTGGAGGCTCTGCAGCTGTGACTGCTAAGCATGGCTTCCCCATGTCAGGGTCTGTGAGCCTGAACCCAGGGAGAGAAAGCTATGAGTTCCAAAGTGTGGACACTGAGTCCTCATAGCATCACCACGTGGCCTCCTGGACCCCTAACTAATGGACATGTTTGGGGTATGTTTGGGCTGGGCAGAGCTGCCAAGATAAGGAGTGTGGAGCTGTGCGTATGATCCAGAGGCCCTACTGTGTGCTGAGCCCTAAGCATAGAGCCTGAGCTGCTCTTTTGGGGGACTTGGTACATCTACCTCCAATGTCTCTCTCTCCCTCTTCCCCATCTCAGGGTGACTGAATCCCGCCATCTCCACCTGTACATGCCAGCCGGGATGGCGTTCATGGCTGCTGTCACCTCCGTGGTCTACTATCACAACATCGAGACCTCCAACTTCCCCAAGCTGCTGATAGGTAGGGGCCAGGAGGGGGCAGGAGAGGGATAGTTACCTTCATCCATGCGTCCAGATAATGTTTACTGAGCACTTACTAGGTGCCCAGCACTGTTCTGGGGAGCTAGAGGTTCAGAAGTGGAGAAGAAAAACCCCTGCCTTCTGGTGGGAGGAGATGGGCAAGCGAAGACAGTGAATGAAGACATAGGTAGGAACGATGCTATGAAGAAAATAAAGCCGGGCAAGTGTTTAAGAGTGATGGCCATGTTGCTGTCTATATAGGGTGGTCAGGAAAGATCTATGATAAGAGTGAGCATGCACATGCTTCAGGGAAGAATTTTCCATGCTTTGGAACAGCAAGTCCAAAGGCCTGTTGGTAGGAACAAATTTGACAAACCGGCCAGTATGGACAAAGCCAGGAAAGAGGAGGAATGGTAGGAGATGAAGTCAGGGGCCAGGAGAGGAACAGGGCAGATTCCTAAGCTTTGGGTGTGAGCCTCTGGGCAAATGATGGTATTAATAACTGAGCATGGATCAGGGTTTGGGGAGTTGGCGGAGGTGGGGGGAGCGGGCTCGGACATGTTGTGTTTGAGACAACCACTCAAGTGTCAAATGGGCAGTTAGAGAAACGAGTCGGGCATTCGGGGGAGGTCAGGACTGGAGATATACATTCAGAGGTCATGGGCTTGTAGATGGCATCAAAAGCTTGAGCCTGGCTGAGGTCACCTGGAGAGAGAAAAGACTAGACCCCAGGACTAGAGCCTGTGGTTTGTGAACATTTAGAAAGATTCAAGAAGGGGTGCCTCCTTAGACCTTCTGACACTGTATGGCTGGGGTCCCAGGCAGAAACAACAGCAATGAATGTTGATATTTATTGGGCATGTATGGTGCACCGGGCTTGGTGCTAAGCTCCTCACGTGCGTTGTCTCACTTGACCTCCACAATCTCCATATCAGTATCACAGCTGTCCCCTTTCTACAGATGTGGACACTAAACTCAGAGAGGTTACAAATAATAACAGCAAACATTCATCTACCGCTTGCCGTGTGTCAGCCATGCTCCCCAACATTTCACATATATCAGCTCATTTCATCCTTACAACAGCACTCTGAGGTAGATACCATTATCACTTCCCTTTTACACAACAGGAAATTGAGGCTCAGAGGTTAAGTGACTCACACTAGTCTGCCCGACTAGTCAAGAGGCAGAATCAGGGTTAGATCCCCAGAGTCTGGAACCCAAGCAGGCTCTTAACTGCCTCTGAGACTGTGTGTCTAAGGGTCATCAGACGGCTTGGGCCAAAGGTATCAATCTGGAGGTCTGTCTAAGGTCAGGGCTGTACATCTGGCTGAGCGGCTGTGGTCAGACTGTATCATTAAGTCAGGCTATGATTTTTAGGAGTCATAGCATCTAATTGACATTTGGAGTCTGGAACGCTCTGTGCTAAGCCAGAGACAACACGGTGTCGTGGGTGGGCAGAGGGTGTTTCCCAAGCTAATCGGGACGTCTGTCTTCCTGGGTAAGGGGAGTGCTGGGCTCCATCAGGATCATCCGGATGACCCCCCCAACCTGGGTGACCCTATCAGAGTGTGGCTGGGGGACTAGGGAGCACCAGCTGAGAGAGAGAGATGGTAAGTACAGACCTCAGAGAACCTCCCTCTCCTGAAGCTTCTGAAGCAGCTTCTCTTATACAGAGAACCCCTTAGTAACCCCCGGGCCTGGCTGCCCAGTGCCCCCTAGAAACATCCTATCTGGGCATATGGCAAGTTCATTTTCTCATTCTCTGGAAAGCACACAATGTTCTTTCTTTAAAGCACAAATTACCCCCCCCCCCCCGTAGATAGACCATTCTTTCTCCAGAGAACAAGGACTAACTCTCTCCATTCCCACTTGCTAGAGTTTTGCTCTGCAGCGCCAGAAATTCTAGAACAGGTAAAAGCAGAGTGGTTACACCCCATGAGCTCACGGATTGAGGACCGTGGGTATTGGGGGAGCCTCAACTGGCCCTCTGAGAAGACTCCCGTCTGGTCACAGGTCTGGAGTCCTGCAGAAAGGTGAACCCCACTGTGGCTTACTTTGGCCCACAGAATAACCTTGGTCTTGAGGCTCCAGATGAGATCAAGGAAGTGTTCTGTGAAAACATCACGTTCGAGCTGGGAACTGAAGGAGAGGTGGGACCTAACTGAGAGAAGGGAGAGGAGAATGTTGGAGGCAGAAGGAACAGCATGTGCAAAGGCCCTGAGGCAGGAGAAGCATGCTAGGAAATCCGGAAGAAAACCCGTGGCTAGAATGCAGAGAGCAGAAGAGAAATGAACTTTGAAGCCCGGAGTGGCAGATGGGGGCCGTACTAGGCGGGGCCCCCGAGGCCACACCACAAGCATTGATCTTTCTCATGGGCACTGAGGGTTAGAGTGTGTGTATATGTGTACGTGTAACGTATACATAACATAAAATTTGCCACTTGAACCACTTCTAAATGCACGATTCCGTGGCATTGAATACATCCACATTTTTTTTGCAACCATCACCACCATCCATCCAAACTACCCATCTCCAAAACTTCATCTTCCCAGACTGAAACTCTGTGTCCATCAGACAATAACTCCCTGTTCTCCTCTCTCACCTCAACCCCTAAAAACTACCTTCTCTCTCTCTATGAACTTGACTACTCTCGGGACCTTGTTTGTCTAAGTGGAATCATAGGCGAATTTGTCCTTTTGTGATTGACTCATTTAACTTAATCGAACACCCTCCAGGTTCACCCGTGTTGTAGCATGTGTCAGACTATCCTTTCTTTTTTAAGGCTGAATAACACTCCACTGTATGGAAATGCCACATTTTGCTTATCCAGTCATCCCTCAGTGGCCCTTTGAGGTCTTGCACTTTTTGGCTCTTGTAAGTAATGCTGTTAGGAGCATGGGTGCCTGAGATCATCTTTGATCAGATTATTGCTTCACAGAGGCTAGACTGAAGATGGGCAAGTGAGGGAAGCATCAGAAGGCTCTCAAGGGAGAGCAGGGGAGATGTGAGGGCGGCCCCCAGGGCTTATGATGGTGACCCAGCTGGCCCAGATACTTAGGAGGTAAAGGAGACAGAACATGGTAATAGGTAGGGTGTGGAGAAGGGGAGGGAAGACACAGGGCTAAGGAGCATTCAGAGCCTGAAACTCGCTAGCAGCCCCCGTGTCATACCCCGTCCTTTCTGCTTTCCTCTCGGTCAAGCTCTAAACTTTGGCTGAGGGCTGCTGTGTCTAGCACAGGGGAAGGAACCCTGGAGCTTAGTCCTGGGCCCACCACTAAGTCCCTGTGTGACCTTGGACATGGCTCTCGGGCTCTGGGAGCCTCAGTTTCTGCATCTGGACAGAATACAGAATAGTGAGTCCCTGCCTAATCACAGGGTTGTTATGAAGAGCATCAAACCACATCTGTAAGGCCCCTGTGAGGCATATTTTCAAGACTGGGCCCCCGTAGGGGACCATCACGAGGGGCCAAAGAGGTTCTGATGCTTGGTTTCGGTCTGGGGGAGTGTAGGTGTGGAGGCAGGGTGATGGACTCCAAGCTGTGGGATCCTTGGGACGTGGGGGCCAGACCAAGCTGAGGGGATTATCACCCCAGTCCTGGCCAGAGAGGGGCAATGCACAGAAAGCAGACGCTTCTGCCCTCTATCCTAACGCCTTCACCCAGGGACCCAAGATAGATGACATTTATCCCTCCCGGGGCAAGTTCACCATCTTGGCCTCGTTCCCAGTCCACACTTAGGCTGGGCCGGACCCCCACTTTGGTCTCCAAGAGATACCCCGGCATTCATGCAACCAGGCCCACATAGGGATGGAGGGCAGGGGAGGGTGTTTCCTTCTCTGTGCTCTGACAAGAGAAGAGCCCTAGGGGCTGTAGGCTGCCCTTGTGGGCATCTGGCCCTAGGGAGGGAAGGGGAAGGAGCTGCCCACCTAAAGCTTCTCCTAGAGGAGGACTAGTCATTGCTGCTTGATGTTGTTGCTCCCTGATAGTGGTTTATTGGCCGGTGGTAGTGATGAGAATTTAGAGATTAGAATCTACTCTTAGCTTCTGATGCTTACGGGCCCAGGTCTGAAATCTGGAGATGATAACAGGATTAACAGCTGACGTCCCAAGAGCACCCACTGCGTGCCAGGCCCACCGTGCTAAATTTTTCCATGCAGTGCTCACAACAACCTTTGAGGAAGTGCTATCATTATCCCCATTTTCCGGGTGAAGAGACTGAGGACTTTACCCCCAGTCACATGGCTGTTGAAGTACAGGATCTGAGCCCAGGGATATCCGGCTGCTGGGCCCTGCCCTAACCACCGTGCACACTGTCTCTCAGAACTGTCACTTACTTGTTCAGATCCGCAGCCCCCCAGGCTCCGTGAGGGCCGTGCCGCTGCAGGCTCTGCACTGGCCGCACTCAAGCTCGTGGCGAGCGTAGGCAGGCCATATCCTCCGTGGGGCTCCACTTTCCTCATCTGTAAAATGAAAGAGCAGATTGAAGAACCTTTAAGACCTCCCCAGCTCGGGGGCACCTGGGTGGCTCAGCAGGTGAAGCACCTGCCTTCAGTTCAGGTCATGATCTCAGGGTCCTGGGATCGAGTCCCACATCGGGCTCCCTGCTCAGTGGGGAGTCTGCTTCTGCTTCTCCCTCTGCCCCTCCCCTCTGCTCATCCTTGCTCTCACTCTCACCCTCTCTCTCTCACATAAATAAATAAAATCTTTTTTTAAAAAAAATAGATCTTTCCAGCTTGGAAATCCCACGAGCAAACCATTATAGAATAAAGCCTCCCAGCATGGGCTCCAGTTCTGCCACCTGACTTGATCAGTTAGTTACCTGGGCCTGGCTTCCTACGTCCTGGGGTGGTGGCAGTTCCTCCCTCACAAGGGTGATTGTAGGGAATAAGGGGAGATAATACTCAGAGCGCTCACTCGGTACAGTGCCTACAACTTCGTTAAACTGAAAAAATGATATATTAATTACCGTAAAGGAAAACTTGGCTGACCAGCTTGACTTACAAGATCATTAATGTTTTGAACATACCTACCATGAACGTGTGAATGTATGCACACCCCCTCAACATGACACACTTACAGATTCACACACACAGCCCTTTGCTCAGAAACGGGCATCCATACCCATGACGTTGGTGTTCACTCACACACCTCCTCCTGCCTGCTTCTTTTCTCTCCTTCTCTCCCACACTCTCGCACACACGTGAGTGCATACGTGCACCACACACACACACACACACACACACACACACCCTCTCGCCTGCAGCCCTGCTAGTCTACTGGACCCTGGCTTTCATCACCAAGACCATCAAGTTCGTCAAGTTCTATGACCACTCCATCAGCTTCTCACAGCTGCGCTTCTGCCTCACGGGGCTGCTGGTGATCCTCTACGGGATGCTGCTCCTGGTGGAGGTCAATGTCATCATGGTGAGGGTAAGCAGGCCACTCCCGGGCCACCCCAGCACCCCCCTCAGGACACACCTGGGCCGGCGTGGGTCTCCTCCTGATCAATGTCCTGCCCCTGGGTGTGGGCCCCCACCTCGCTGCTTAGACAAGCCCTGGAAGGAGGCAGCCTCTTTTAGCGGCCCCCAAAGGGGAGCTGAGACCAGTGGGAGAGGTTCGAGAGGAACGTTCCATCTGGCCCAGCTGCCCTCTACCTCATGCTCCCAGAGGGAATGGAAGTGATAGGATGCATTAGCCAAGGTTGAAGGATTCTGGGTATAAAACCATAGAGAGGGAAAAGAGCTTGGAGTACTGGCTTCTCTGAGCTCTGTTGCTGCTGTTATTTGGGGGGAGAAGAGTTATTTTAATGTGTTCATATGGTTACACATATACCAGAATGACTAAACGTGGCCGCATACATGGCTTTTATCGTGTTTCATTATAATTTTTGCTTACCCCTTTCCCCTCTCTCCTCTCTCCCTACCCTATATTCCTCGGGCCTTTCCCTTCCCCGGATAACCCAGATTAACAACCTCATATGTGTCCTTCCACTCTTGGTTTTTATTACTATACCATCTACTTGTATCTATTTAAGGTGCTTTTTTCTCATCACCTATGAGAGTAAAGATTTTTCCTCTCAATATTCATTTTATAAAAATAGGATCATATTATACACAGTTTTCTAGGTCTTGCTTTTCTCACCCAACAGATATCTCTTAGGACTGCCTCTAAGTCTGGTATGGCTAATTTAGTTTTCTTAATGGCTGCATAGTATTCCATCATGTGGATGAGCAATAATTTATTCAACCATTACCCAGTCAATGGGCATTCACTTCACTGCCAAGTTTCTGCCTTCACAAATAATGGTGTATTAAACAGACTTAATATCTTTATGTATTGCTGCTTTTATTTCTGTGGGAGAGAGTCCAAGGAGTGGAGTTGCTAGTTCAAAGGGTCTGTGTATTTTAAATTTCAATCAGTGTTGCAGATCGCCTTCCAGAAAGAAGCAATATAATCTACCAGCAATGAATATAGAAAACCCTCTCCCTGCCTCCAACGAGCAATGGGGCCAGCTCCACTTGGGCAATGAGTGTGAAGTGCTCCTTGAATTTGCATTTCTCTGACACCTCTGTTTTAGTTGGTGATGTGCAGGGTACAGAGGCCCTACAACATTGCCTGCCTCAACTGACCCTCACAGCCCCCCGCGGGAATGCAAGTACCACCCACCTTTTAGACAAGGAAACATTTTAGAGGAGACCTTGTCTAAAGACACCTTTCTAGTAAGTGGAAGAGACAGGGTTTGAGCTAAGGTTTGCAAGGCTCCATGTTCCAATAACACTACATGAAACATGGTAATGTCCTCAGATCTGTGGTATATGGGATGGTATATGGGAGATTTCTGCTCTTCCCCAGTCCAACCTAAACCCAACCCAACCCAGCCAAAGGGATTCAGAGTAAACCTCAATGAAGCATTACATTTCAGGAAGGCCCAGCACTGGTTGCCAAGAGGTGTTGGAGTGATCCTTTTCCTGGGAATAGGCAAGATATGACCCCATATGTTAGAGGTCAAGGATGGGATGTCACAACCCCTGATCTTTTCTGGGGCAAAATGGAGAGGGGTGAGAAGTCGCATTTACCTATCCCCAGTGATCCATGTGTCCCACAGAGATATATCTTCTTCAAGTCACCAAGGGAGGTGAAGCCCCCTGAGGACCTACAGGACTTGGGGGTGCGCTTCCTGCAGCCCTTTGTGAACCTGCTGTCGAAAGGCACCTACTGGTGGATGAATGCTTTCATCAAGACTGCTCACAAGAAGCCCATTGATCTCCGAGCCATTGGGAAGCTACCCATTGCCATGAGGGCTCTCACCAACTACCAGCGGCTCTGTGAGGCCTTTGACACCCAAGCGGTCAGTGGGGGCCCTGCCACACCATCCACTCCCCTCCCTTCAGTTTAAAGTCTCAGACGGGGACCTCCGAAGGCATCGGGTCAAACCCCTGGTAGGGCCCACTGAGGGAAAGAGGCTTGCCCTAGGTCACACAGTGAACTGGAGGCAAGTCCAGAAGCAAAGATTCACAGGACAGTCACAGCTAGAATAGCCCATGGGTTTAGGTCATCTAACACACTCATCGTCTGGATGGGGAAACTGAGACCCTGAGAAAGGAAGTAACTCCACTGAATTCCCTCATGTCCTAGGTTCTTCCTTCTAGAGTTCAGTGACTGTAAAGGTGGGAATATTTTCACCCATTTTAAAGGAGGGATTTAGTGGCCTGATACTTCCAAGAACCCTATAAGCTGAGCCAGGCAGGAGTCTCCCAATCTCACTGCCCAGAGAAAAGCCGTGACCTGGCCAGAGCGGGGCCACTGGTAGGTGGCAGAAGCAGTCTCCCAACTCCCAGGCCCATGTTCCTTCACTGCCTCTGCCCTAGCACAGCGGGGAGACACTGAAGCAGGTGCAATGGTGGGTGGTGATGAATGACCTTGACACATGCCACTTCCTCGTTACGGTGCTGTGCTCATCACATAGTCCCTGACCCGCTGTGTGACCTCGGTCAATCACCTGGCCTCAGTTTCTCCATCTGGACCATGCTGGTGTTAATAGGGCCTACCTAACTGTGCACTTGGTGATTCAGTGATTTCTTCCTGGAGTTTACCTGTTTGCAGCAAATGTGGCCATTGAGTTTCCCCAGAAAGCAGGAGCCAGGGCCTTCCTGGGAGGGCGGACCCTGCCATGAACAGGCCCTCGGCCCTTCTGACCTGGCCATGGGTTCTCTCTGGGCAGCAGAAGGACTCGCAGAGCACACAGGGGGCCCGGGCCATCTGGCAGGCACTTTGCCAGGCCTTCGGGAGACGCCTGGTCCTCAGCAGCACTTTCCGCATCTTGGCCGATCTGCTGGGCTTCGCTGGGCCACTGTGCATCTTCGGGATTGTGGACCACCTTGGGAAGGAGAACCGGGTCTTCCAGCCCAAGGTAGGCACCCCACGGGCAGAACAGAGCACCCTTTGGAAGGTTTTCCCTTGTAGATGAGAATGTGCAGAGGCCAATGTGTGTGCGCTTTGGCTGCACTGGGCCAGCTCCCCCACCACACACAAAGCCCTTGGCAATATCTCCCTCTAGAAGATGCTCTGCATCCAGTTAACAGGAGGCAAGCTGGTGCCCCAGGAAGATTTATGGTGCCCTGCTGTCTTCATCGTGCCATCACTGCCACAACACCCCTCCCCATTCAGAAATTATAGGAAGTGCTTATGTTTACCCAGCATCTAGGGCTTCTATGATTTGTTGGATATGTTGGCTTTAGTTTACATCATCCTAATAGACTCTAAATAACTTTTTATGTTCTCTCTTCTTTACTTCTCTATTTTGGCATCCGAGGTTCTACAGGTGCATCTTAGAGGCTGCTGTTGGGGGTGAGGGGTGGAGGGGAACCTCCATGGGTTTCTCCCCCCAAGTCCAGATTTCACTCAAAGCTCCCCCAGATTTATGAATATGTTAGACTTTCCCATTAAAAATTCTTTTACCAAAGGATTCCATGTATTAAAAATACTTGAAACTCATTGGACCACCTGATATCAAATGGCCTTTGCAGCTTTAAAGCTGCTACAGACTGAAATTGGTTGGACAAAAGAGGCAGGAAATCTTTCTGGGGGTTTATTTTCCCTGCTTGGGGCAATAGCATCCACTCTGGGGATGGGGGTGGGGTACTTATTCCTTTATCTGCTTCTTCGCTGCCACTTAGGTTTAGATGGTCAAAAATGGAAAATGTTTCACCTCTAACAAGATTCAGAGTTTTATTTTCCCAGCAGGAATATCGTTATAAACTTTTAACCACAAACAGTCCAAAAATGCTGCTGAGAATTGCTAATTAGGGATCTTCGTTAAGATTTTATGACACTCCCTTGTGTAATGCCATTCCTCTCATTGGCTCTAAGATCACAGAGAGCATTTAATCCTTGGGGGGTTTATATTAATTTTTTCCAGAGATATAATTAATCAGCTGAGCACTTCTGGTCAGCATTACGAGACACTCCAAGTCTGTTTGTCTGCTTTATTCAGCAAACATTTATTGAACCCTACTGTGTGCCAGGCCTGGGTTGAGCTGTGGGAATACCGAGTTATGATGAGGACTATTAACTATAATAACAACCACACACTGACCACTTAGCCCATGTCTGGCTGCTAGTGGGAGTTATCCATGCCTCACACAACCTTTTAGAGTAAGTACTTTTTAAGTTTTATTTTATTTTTTTGGTAATAGCTTTATTGGGATATAATTCACATACCATACAATTTACAAGGTAGGTATTTTATCCCCATTTTACAGGTGAGGGGCTTGAGGTGCAGAGAAGCTGAGTAGCTTTCCCCTAGGGTTTCTCAGCCACTTTGTGACAGAGTCAGAATCTGAATCCAAGTCTCTCTCACTTCAGAGCGTGGGGCACTTACAACATGATGCTAAAGTCACTTACTGTTATCAAGCGGTCACCTCTGGCTCCAAGGATTGTGAAATCTAATGGAGGAGAGAAATCTAAATAAAAGATGTTTCTACTGTGTGTTAAATGCCACTACGAGGGAGTATATACGGGCAACTGTGGGAAGAGAGAGACTAGCTCAGCCAGTGGTCATGGACAGCTTCCTAAAGGAACAAGGATTTGCATGGGGCCTTGACATGCGAGCGTGAGTTGGCCAAGCTAAGATGGGCAGATTTCTAGTTCAACGAGAAGGTGAGGACTCTTCTGGCTTATTTAGACCTTGACTGCTTTTAAGGCTTTCTCTGGCTTTTTAAGCCTCTGAACTGTATTTGGCCCAAAAAGAGAAAGGAAAGGGCAGCTTCTCTTGTCTACAAGAGTGTTACCTTCAGTTCTAGTCTGACCATAGATGACTCCAGAATATTCTACATTGATAATCCTACAGCAGCAAGAGCCCGCTGTTACTATCAGGTGGGAAGCGACGCTGGCCAGAGCCCTTCTCAGCTTGTTCACACCATCGTCTTCTTCCTGTGTTTCCCAGAACTCTGGTGGGGTTCTCCTACAGAGAGCACCGAGGAGGATGTGCCCAAGAGGTACCGGGAGCAACACTTAGAATTCTAGTTCACCTGAACGTTCTCTTTTCTCTATTTATACACCAACCCTGGGATCTACAGCGCTCTCGTTGGAATGCTCTTGTCCTGGTTCCTTGTCAGGACATAAATCCCTGAGACAGATGGCTCTGCCTCAGTGGCAGCAGGCCTTATCAGATTTCATATTTGTTTCCTGTGGCCCAAATGCAATCAGCAAATTAGAGACATTGAAATGAGAGGTGAAAGTAAATATAAGGCTCCAGTGTCAGCAACAAAGAATGCTCAATCGTGTGGTTGCCTGGGATATGGCTTAATTCTCATTTGGGTTTCTGGCTCCAGAAAATGGGGCAAGGGGGTCATTTACTGAGGTCATTTAGTCCATCCCTCGCCTCCCAGCAGCTGTCACCTAGAGAGAGGGCCTGTTCTGGTCTCTATGAACCCATGAGGAAGCCCCCCTGCCCCCACCCTCAGCTACATGTTGCAGCAGGAACAGCCCTCTCCATGAGAAAACCTTTCTTTCCGCTCAGCCTCCATCTCTGCTGTCCCAGCCTGCACAGCATTGACTTCATGGTCAGTGGCCGCCCTGTCCTCTCTTCCCTTTCCAGGACACTCACAGTTGGCAAGAATCACACTGCCCTTGGCGTCCGTGAGGACAAACGTTATTTCTTCTTTAATTCCCCGACTCCTGTCCCCTCTGCCACTCCCTAAGGAAAGCTGGGACCCGGGCTGTGTGCAGCCCATGACTTCTCTCTCTCTTTCCAGCCCCCTCTCCCACCTCACCCCTACCCACAATCTGTCACCTGCCGTGGATGCCACTGATCTGGCTGCAGGACAAGGGAACTGGATCCATTAAGAACTGCCAGCATCTGAGACCTGCCAGCACTGTTCTAGACTGTCAGCTGAGCAGAGAAAAAGCAGTCTGACTTTGGTCTGAGGGCCAAAGCTTCCAACAGCCTCTACCCTCAGAGGGGAAACAGGTGTAGGTCTTTAAGTGTGTATGTGTTTGTTTCTGAATGAATTCTCCTGGGAACTGTTTATAAATCAGTATGTATGTCCTTCGATTTGTCCTGTGTCTCTTGGTTTATCTTTTTTTCTATGAGCATCTGTGTCTCAATTAGGGTACACGTATTTGTAGCTATCACTGTGGGTGACTGTGTACATTCATATGTGGTTCTGTGGCTCTGTGATGTCAGTGTGTGGGTGGGTCTCTTCATGACAGTGTCCATGCGGCCGCTGTGGCCTGGCGTGCCTCCCCTCATCTCACTAGCTTCTCTCAGGCTCCCAAGACTCAGCTCAGATGCCACCTCTTGCAGGAAGACTCCTTCTGGTTGGATTAGATGCCCCTCTTCTGTGCTCCCATAACATCCCGGGCTTGCATCATCAAACACCCCTTGTATCTTTCCCGACTCGACCCCGAGTCCCCTGAGACAGGAAGTACATTGCCTGACCTCCTGGTGCCCCACACCCAGATCCATGCCTGACATTCAGGGGTCACAGGAGAAATGATTCTTCGGGGAATCATAAAGAAGTCACCACCTACTAAGTGCTTGTACTTACAAGATATTTTTACCTGCATTGTTACACTGAATTCTTACACCAACTCTCTGGCCTCATTTTTCAGTGAGGAAACTGAGGCTCAGGGAGATCGAGGCACTTACAATAAGGACACAGTGGCCAATATATAATGAGTCAGGACTCAAACTCAGCTATGGCTAACCTCTAAGTCCAGGCTTTAATGGATGGATGGGAACATTGATCCATGAGTGGTCAAAGATGGTTGTCATTGTTTTTACCCAAGGACTTCTAGGGCTGGGACCTATGGACAATTGACTTTCTGGCTCCTACCCAAATAAGAAGCAAAAGCCCATGATCCCTGTCCATTAAGCTCAAGAGAATAAGGGAAGGTGGCCTTTCCAGTCATGCCTCTGGCCAAGTAGGAGCAATGGAGGTCAGAACTGTAGTCAAGAGTACTAGGTTCTGGTGTCCTACCTGTACAATGAACCAGTTCAACTGCAAAATGGGGAAATGTATAACTTCTTTAGAAAGCAGATGGGGGAGGAAGGTCATATGCATTGATTAATTTAAAATATGTATTGAGCACTACTGGGGAAGCCCCTGGAAACAAACACAGTTTATCCCCTGAGAGCTTGTGGAAATGTGAGGCTAGGGCATCTGATCTTCCGAAGCATTAAACTTGCACCAGATGTCACATTGTAGGTCCTTGGCCTTTTCTCTCCAGCCTTCAAGGCTTTGGGCAATGTCTTTGCCCTCACACCCATTTAAAGCTTCCCAGGGCCCACCTTCCTTGGGCAGTACGCCGGGTCTCTTTGACTAGTCTAATACCCACTTCTTAATAAAAACTTGGCTATTCTGGGCTCCATCTCTTTTAAGGTGTCTCTTTGAAGAGAGATCAAATAATGTCCTAATGACTTATATCTGCAGGGAGATTTTCATTTTAAGATGTCACAAAATTCTTGATCCAAAGAAATACAGTTTCTGACCCAACAGTGTGTGTGCTTTTGGGGGAAGTGGTCAAGGTTTTGCCTTTAAAGCTGCAAGAAAGGAATTGGTTGCTTCGTCACAAATGTATAAATAATGAATGTATTTAACAAATACCACCCATATTCTAACCAATATATGTGATCAGTTGATTTTTCTAGTGCTCATTCTCTAGCCGTGTGTTTTCTGATCCTTGTGGCTTGTGGCACAGCACATTCCATGCTGCTCAAGAGCTTTTGTGGGGGGAAAAAAGAGCTTTTGTGGTGATGAGAGTTCTTGGTGTGTAGTGTTCCCATGAGCATCATAATTTACCCAACTGGGGAAGCCCAGGTGGCTCAGCAGTTTGCACTGCCATTGGCAGGGTGTGATCCTGGGGCCCCGGGATCAAGTCCAGCATCGGGCTCCCTGCATGGAGCCTGCTTCTCCCTCTGTCTGTGTCTCTGCCTCTCTGTCTCTCATGAATAAATAAAATCTTAAAAAAAATAATTTACCTAACTATTGCCTATGGTTGCGCATTTCCATGGCTTTATGCCTCTCCCCCAGCTGTAACCCAGAGATAGAACACCTTTAGTTCCTGATGTTAAATTATTTCCTTTGGGGTAAGTTCCGGTGATTTGTTTCGTTGCTTTAATGTAATGGACCCCATGCTCCAGAGCTGGGTCTCTGTGGAAGATGTAGAACCGAAGAATTCCAAAGTGTGTTCAATAGGACCAGGTTTCCCCAAGCCTGCATGCCTTCGTCTTTGACCCAGAACCAACCGCGTGGCCATGTTTCTGACCCCCACAAGCTTGTAGCTGATGATAGAAGACTGGAGGTCAAAGCCAGGTAGACTTAGCTAGTGGATCTAGGATAGTGTTTTGGGCATCACGCAGGTTCATGTTCACATGTTTTGCCTTATCAGCATGTGACCTCGAGCCAGTCAGGTAACCGTGCTGAACTCCATTTCCTCGTGCATAAAATTAGGCCCATAATGGTACTCTTCTCATTGGTGTATCATGAAGATGGAGCTCTGCACCTGATAAATATTGCGCTCTGCCCCTTGCGTCCCTGCCAGGTCAGATCTCAACCCCCACAGCCTAATTTTAAGGTCCATTTCCTGCTTCCAGGACCCTCCCAGGCTTCTCCCTCTGCCTTCCCCTCTGGTACTTTGACCAATGAGGCCAAGTCAGGGGCTTCAGGCCTTGGTAGGGCCTTTCTCTATCAGACCTTAATAGTCTCTCTGTGCCTGCTTCCTGCTGTCCCCAAAAAGAAAAGACTCCTGTCCCACGGAGCCAAGGAGAGATGGTTGTTAAGTTCCATGAAGCAGTGAGGGCTGGTTTAGAAGGCCCAGTTGGACCAAGAGGCAAGATCTTTTCTACTGTCAGGAGGCCCTGTATCCAGGATCTAGGAATTTCTGACTCTAGGGAAAAAGACTCCTCTTAGAGTTCTGATCCCTTGGGCCTGATCCTGGCCATAGACATGCCCTCAGGCTCCTTCTCATCACTTTGTTCCCACCACCCTTCACCCTACAGCAGCTCCCACATCCTGCAAATAGCTTTCAGAGTTCAGGGCAGGGTCTCAGGAAGGGGAGAGTGCTGTCTTCATGGAAATATTGATGTGGTTCTGCTGGGGAGCAAAGTACTTAATCAGGATCAAAGTTTTCCTAGGAGCTGTTGATGCTGAATTTGGAAACAGACGTGCTGTTGTTTTCTGGTATCTTTAGCAACAGAGTCAAAATGGTTGGTTTTTTTTTCCCCAGTGCTTATCATCGGAGATCTTGCTGGAGGTGTTGCAAGAGGACCTTCAGTTTAACAGGAGGACCCCGGAGCCCACAAGGCTGGGGGGCTTCCGAAATCTTCTCAGTCTATCATAGGTGATGAGTTTCCATCTCACCTGGGAGCACTACAGTTTTTCTATTGGTCTTTCCTCTCCAGAAATTTCTACAAGGCAGGCTGTTGGTGAATGTAGGACAAGACCTTAGCTCATTCTGGGTTTTTCTGTAGCACAGAACACACATTGTGGAATCTGTTCAAGCAATTCTGGTTTGGGCTGCTCTGTGATTCACTATATTTGTTTTCGTTCCTTTCAGAGTGAGCTCCCCTGAGTCTGGTGGGGTCTATTTGAGCTGGAAGTCATATTTATGGGCATGAGGTTAGAACTGGACCACACTCTGTTCCCCTAAGTAGGATGATGAAGAGGGTATAGGCCACCCTCCCTGTGGCTAGAAGAATGTTTAGTTGGATTTATCAGCCTTATATTGCCCTTAGACACAGCTGACAGGCTTGGCAAGCATGGAGGGTCCTATAATAATGGCCATCGTGGCACAGTAACAGGTACTGGTGGCGGCTATTTTTCTGGCAATGACAGCCACTTCTGAATTCTCTTTCCAACAGACGCAGTTTCTCGGGGTTTACTTTGTCTCGTCCCAAGAGTTCCTTGCTAATGCCTACGTCCTAGCTGTGCTTCTCTTCCTTGCCCTCCTACTACAAAGGACGTTTCTGCAAGCATCTTACTACGTTGCCATTGAAACTGGAATTAACTTGAGAGGAGCAATACAGGTACTTGGCTAATTATGTTTTTACTTTGCAATAAAAACCACATTATTCATCCTTGTGGATGACTCTAGGAAAAGTCATTATTCATTTGCAAGAATAAATCTGCTGTGCCTTTATTTTTTTGTTGCCCTTTAGCAGTGCTTTGAAACAATAACTATTGACTAAGCAGCCTAGGAGAGTGGAAAGTGCCTTGGGCTGGACTCGGAGAGTGTAGGAGTTCCAGCCCTCGTTCTGCTTTGCACTAGGTCTGCAATGTCACCTGCTCGGCCTTGAATGGGACAGACATCACTATTGGGTCACCTCACTCTTTCCTGTTGAATGCATGCACATGCAGACTCAATCCTTCTCCAGATTCTGTTCCAAGAGCCTGCCACCAGTCTTCTTTGGGTGAAAACAAAAACAAAAACAAAAACAAAAACAAAACAAACAAACAAAAAAACGAGTTTGACATACCAGGACTAGATTGCCTCTAGTATCTATCTGAGCTCCTAAATCTTGGGTCATAACAATGGAGACTTACTAGGCCCAGTAAGTCCCTTGGGTCTAGGTCCTTGCTTCTGTTCCTGATAGCTTCCTTCTCAGAGTGGGTTGAAAGGATGATCAAAATCAGGAAAGACTCGGGGCACTTTTTTAAGCAAGGTGGTGATAAGAGTTGTCTAAGCCCTAGTGTTTTCTTTAGAATTTGGTTCTGCTGCTGGGATGAGGAGACCCAGTGTGACAGTGGTTTAAATAGGATAAAAGTTTGTTTTTCACACCAAGTCAGGGCTAGTAGGGCAGCAGCACACTCATCAGAGACCTTGGTTCCTTCTGGAATGCTGCTCTCATGTGACTTTTGTCTTACAGTTTAAAATGACTATTGACATTGTCATTGTTGGGCCTACACTTAAAACAGCAAAAGAATAAAGGTGGGGCAGTAGGAGGGAATGCTGCCTTGTTTTAAAATCACAACGCAGAAGTTGCACATATCCTCTCCCATCCCATTGATGAGAAATTGGCCACAGGCTATACCTAGAGAGGCTAGAAAGTGCGGTCTTTATTCTTGACAACCATATATGTCCCCCTGGAAATTCTTTCGAAAAGGAAAATGGATACTGGGGGACAACTAGTAGAATATGCTATACTCAGAAATTCCCGTGAAGTCAGTGGAACACTAGGAAGTTGTGACTAAATCCCAAAGCCACCTCATACTTCTGGACAGAAATGTTCCTCAGAATTAACACTGATCAGTCCTCTGGGAGCCAGGATCAGAAACTGTACAGAAAAGTGATTGAGAGGAGAAGGTTATGGCGTAGGCTGGGGACCCTCTCAGGGTCCAAACTCCAGTTATCTTAGTATACAGTCCGCGTGAATGCTGCCCCCCGCAGTTGTGTAGTGCACAGCCTGTGCAGCTGTACAAGACAACGCTGCCCATCCCCAGTGGTTTTTTTTTACTGAGAAAACAGAGTCGTTTCCTCAGGAATGTCATCATGTGAGAATGATGGAAAGAGCCCAGGAAATCTGAGACCTTTTGAGATTCATAGGGGCTCAAAGCTAGGAGGAACCAGGCTATTCCTCAGTTCAGAAAACCTTTCTGAAAATCCCAGCCTCTACACGGACCCTTCCATTGACGGGCAGGCACATTCTACCATAGATAACAGCGAATTTTGCAGTCAAACAGTTCTATAAAAAAGAACAAACAACAGTGTCTATAATTAAATCTTTCTATTTGAAAAAAAAATCTTTCTATTTGTATGTCATAAATTACACACTGACCCAGTATTTCCCAATTACTCTAAAAAAGCAAAAAATGGTTGTTAAACATACTCGTATGTAATTGTTTTAATCAAACTGTCTGAATCCAGGAGAGCTAAATTCAGATGCCATGAAAAGAAAATGCTGGCATTAATTATGGAAACAAGTTAGAAAAACAAATCTTTTTTTCAGAGAGTCACATTAAAATTATAGATAAGAGTCTATGTCTTCATGAGTTTGAGAATAACCACAGTTCTTGCATGAAAAGTTATTAGGCGAAATTCTTGTAGTAAATATATAATTTTTTGACATATGCCAGCTATCAGTTGTGTGTTTCTGTATATCCTGGTCTTTACTGAATAATGCTTTATTTGATAGATTACCCTAGGTTCCTACTTTATTACAAACTGGATTTATTATTATCCCCTGGAGACTGATGTCACATAACATGGGCTGTGCATCTATCTGTCAAAAAATGTCATTGCCATTATTTTAAGTGTTACCCATGGTGTATACAAACCCACAGAAAGACGCAGAATGAGTTCATGCTTTGAGCAAACCTGACCTGCAAAAAAGCCTGGGTTTCATGAAAGATGAATTAAGGGAGCTGGGAATCCACCTTACAACGAATGCACACTAGAATTTCATTTAAAAGCAGGCATCCCTAGGGCATTGAAGATGGGAATGCATTTTTCCTTGTTTAAGAGCACACAACCTGAAAATGCCATCTTCCTAGGAGGCATGATCACTCTGCACATAGAGCTTTTGGGTTCAGAGCTCCCTGGGAGCTGTTACCACGGCTGCTCCCCATCTGCCCTGGAGAGACAGGACAAGACGCTCTGGGTGGCTGGAATCCCAGTGGGGTGGGGCTGATCGACACTTGTACGTGTGTCTCACAGGAGAGCTTCCCAGGCTGACCCCTCATTTTGTTTCAAGGCTCAATTAAGGCAGGACTTGGCCTCTGAGCATACCCCTGCCCCCGGGTGAAGACAGCAGCATTAAAACAGACAGCTGCCCCACTTTATCATTTTTATGGCTCTGAAATGTGTTCTCCATTGGCCTCTGGCAAATCAAGAACACAACTGGATGTGAAGATCTGCTTTTAAGATTTAAGAGCTAATTAAGTCCTGTGCCCCAGGGAGAGGTCTTGCTTTGCTGGGGAAGTCGTTCGCTGGCATGGATTCCTCATTTGAATATTGCCTTTTCTGACCTGCTTGATCTGTAATCAAGGCCCTTTACCTCTCTGAGCCTTACTTACCTCATCTGTAGGATTGGAACACTAATTTTCCGATTGGCGCCCCCCTTATAGAACTGCTCTGGGGCTCCGTGGAGGATTGTCTGCCTGAGAAGGCACTGGCACATTGTAGACACATGGCATCTGGGAGAGGGGATTAGGATGATGGTGACAAATGTGGAGCACTCTTACTCTCATTCCAGACCAAGATTTACAACAAAATCATGCACCTGTCCACCTCCAATCTGTCCATGGGGGAAATGACAGCCGCGCAGATCTGCAACCTGGTTGCCATTGACACCAACCAGCTCATGTGGTTTTTCTTCTTGTGCCCAAACCTCTGGGCTATGCCAGTGCAGGTAAGGGATGCATGTGTGTGGTGGCGGTGGAGGGCACTAAGTTGGAATCTTCTGGTAAATGTCCAGTGACTAGGAGTTCGAGCTCACCATCTTCTATTCCATCTTGGCTTGCACCTTCCACCCCCTTAGAGTCTCCATGGAGCATACTTCTGGCCCCTATACTCTCTCACGGCTGGCAAATGGTCTAGCCATCGCGCTTATCATTAAAGCTTTAGGAAAGCAGCCAGCCTTAAAAAAAAAATAGAATAATCATATGTGGAACACTTTTGCAGACATTAAATGTTATGTTGCTGCAAGTACTTAGTTACATCGAAAAGTGTTCATGATGTATGTTTAAGCCAAAAGTTACAAAATAGTATATGAGGTGAGCTTCGCACTACATTGGAATGTATCTATATACACAGATTTGCACAGATTCATACAGGAAAAGAACTAGAAGTTCACATGGTGGGATTACAGTAATTTTTATTTTCTTTGTGCATTTCTAAATTCTCCAATAAGCCTGTATTATTTTTGAAAATTAAAACCATGATTACTTCTAAAGGTGAACAACCTTTGGAGCTAGCTTTGAAGGAGGTGCATTCTCCCCAACCATAGTAGGAGAATCCTCAGCACAGCTTACCTGGCCCCTGTTTCTCATCTGGAGTTTCTGCCACGGAGCCTGTATTTCACTCTGGTGCTCAGACCAGACCCAGAAATCCCAGAGCGCCTGGAGGCTCCACAGAGGCCACCTAGTATAGAGGATAGTGTCTGGACTTCGGTGAAACAGGTTGATCCAAATACTTACTGTGTCTGAGCCTCAGTTCCCTCATCTCTGAAATACGCCTGATTCCTACCCTCTGGAGTTGCTGTGACAATTCAACTAGATCATGTAAGCAAAGTACCAAGCAGAATGCCTGGCACAGAGTAGTCACTGAGTAAATATCAGATCCCTCGAAATTGCACACTTAGTGAGTAAGGACTTCCCCAGTACAGAATCCATTGTTTCTTGGGATGCAAACTGCACAAACCTTAATCTCAAGTGATTTTTATTGGTCCTTCTAACCTGTAAAACTTGTATTTGAAAGACATTAAAGGAAAAATAGAAGGAGAGGCTTGCACAGGGAGTCAGCTAGGAGTCTTGATGAAGATATAGGAAAGGGAAGGGAATCTGATGGTCCTTTTTATGGGGACAGCCCTATATGGCATCCCCAATTACCACTTACCCACACCTAGACCCCTGTCCACTCCCTTCTCTGCCAAGATGGATCAGAAACTACAGAAGCTATAGAAGGGCCTGGACAGTTCATCTAATACAGTAACCAGCCTTTGATCCATAAGAACTTTCTGTGGTGTTCCCCTGAACAGTCTCCTTTCAAAGATTTTGTGCACCAAACCTACTGTATTGCTATCATTACTATTATTGATAATGTTTATGGAGTTTACGTCATTGCAGACAATACTAATACTAACTAATAACCCTTGCTCCAGGGTCTCTCTCTTGTACAGTTAACCCTCTCCACAACGGGACGCGGTAGTTTCATCCCCACTAATCACTTACCTTTGCTGATTTATCATGAAGTCTCCTTTGGTTTTCCATTTTTAGCTCCTTAAAGGCTATACCTTTGCCCTGAGTACTTTCACCAGCCCTCAAGACGCAGTGTTAACCACCAACGGTTGACAAGTCCCTTCAGCCTAGTCAGGATGCTCTGGGCAGCCTGGCTGGCCACAGGCCATGGGCCTTTGCTAATACTGAAACTAGCCCAGGCGCTCTCTCCTTGATTTGTAATTTTTTTTTTGTCACATATACTTTTTAAAATAACAGCTTCATTAAGGTACAATTCACCCATTTAAAGTGTATAATTCAGTGGGATTTAGCATATTCGGAGCTGCATAACCGTCATCACAATTTTAGAACATTTCCATCACCCCCGCCCCCCCACCCAGGGAAACTGATACCCATCGGCAGTCACTCGTCATCCCCTCCCCCAGCCCTAGGCAACCTCTGGTCTACACAGACTTTCGAAAATCTAATGAAACCTTCTCAGAAAACAAATGTGCATTCACACATTTGCCTACAATTTCAGGAGCTTTACTGGCCCCCTGAAGCTTATGGACACCATGTTAAGGAACTTGGCAATAGTGGGGACTTCTCTGATTCTTTCTTCATCCCCTGGGCGCTGGAGGCCTGGAGAGGGTGGGCCACACTGTGAACTAGTAGCAACGTTACACCCAGGTGTCTCCTTTCTGTGGTTCCCTAGTGACAGTTCCCATGAGGTCTATTTGTTTGTTTTTAAGGAGAGGGTTGCCACCTGGTATTGATCTCTATGTGCCAGGTATCATTCTAGGTGCTTATCACATATATTCATTTAATTTTCAGAGCAGTCTTGATAAGTGGGCATTAAAATTACCATTTTAAGGATGAAGAAGCTGCAACTCAGAGAGGTTAAGTAGCTTGCCTAAGTTTGCACAGCTAAGTGCTGGGATGCATGCAAACTCAGGCTTGCAGACTCCAGCAACTACCATCTCCCCACTACTATACTACGTCACTTTCCTAACTTGCACACAGAGGCGAAAATAGCCCTCATATTCTCCACACTTGCTTCTCATTCTCAGAATCCCTGATTTCTCATATATTCTTCCGAGTGGTCCACTCAGACCCCTGCAGAATAGAGGAATGGACAGAAGAATTTGGGGAGCATCCCAAGGGGTGGGTGGAGGGTGAGAAGGAGCCTAGCAGAAGCAGCAGCTGTGTCTCCAGGTCCCATTCCAGCAGCTCCAGCGCTTGGAGGCAGTGGGGGTTCAGGCACCCACCCCCAGCAGGTGCCACAGTGGCAACGCAGGGAGTGCCCTGGGAGCTTCCTTGGTGTCTGGCTCCATCCAAGCTGCTGAACGATGCCCTGATTGCCTCCATATGAGGACAGTTAATGAAAAGACAGGATGCCAGGGGTAATTTTGGATAAGGTGATGTGAGCAGAACCAGGCAGGAGTAGGAGGTTCTTTATTTTCTAACACGCTCCTCTGCACCCCTGTGTCAGCATTTCACATCAGTGAAACCCTGGGAGGCAGGTGGTGAAGGGGTCACTTACCAGCCCCTAAGATTATGCTAATACAAGAGCCCTTCTGTGATTAACAGAAGTTACAGAGCTGCCCACCCACTCCTCTGTCCTTGAGGTAGTGCAAGGAGCTTAGTGCCAGTTTGGTGTAGGGCTCAGGGAGTACAGGGCCAACCCAGGCAGACGGGTTTCTTTTCCAATTAAGGAAGACAACACATCTGCTCCTCTAGAATAAGCCCTGAATTTAGAGCTATTTGCCTTTGAAGGCAACCTGAGAAGTTGTCATCTTGATGCTTCAGGGGCTGGCAAGAGTAATTTACACTTCTCATAAATATTCAGAATCAGGCAGTCATTTGCATAAAGCTAGGAACAGAATAATTCTCTTTTCAGAGAATACTTGCCAGATTCACTAGAAAATTGAAGACACCAGCCTTCATGGACATATGTATATATGTATTATAGCCAATAAAATGTACATGCCTCTCTAAGAATTATAAAAACCTCTATTTTGATCCAAAGACCACTCTACAGTATGTCACAAATTTAAGAGATCATTTTCATTTTCTTATATTTAGACAATCATTAGTTTATAGAAGACTATTCGTATTTTATTTTTAAAAAGATGCCAGGAAAAAAATGTAAAAAAAGATGCCAGGAGCCTAAGAATGAAAAGTGAACTCTCAGTCCCTGGACTCGTTTTGTCCGGCACAGATGCAACAGTGCCCCTTTGCTCATATGTCACTTTTTTCCCCACATGAGGGAACTGTCAGCCTTGCCAGCCAGCCAGCAGAACAAAGGATGCTATTACACTCATTGTGCAACGTCAGCTCTGAGACTCCCCTCTGAAAGGTAGATTTGGAGAGAGTTAATGGCTCAGCAGGCTGGCAGATAAATACAGTTAGTTATCAGCCCAGAAAGCCACTGCTTGTGTGAGACCCCCATCACATTAATACCTCTTCCCAAAATTGCTTTGTCACACCTCCTCCTCTGGGCCCCAGGGACCACTTGAAAACCTGGGTACAAGGCATTTCCCTCCCTAGGGGACTGAGGAAGGGGGGACTTTGCCAACACCCCCTCCCCCAGGGCGGCCACCAAATCAAAGGAAACTCACCCCCATGACCCTCCTTCAGATCATCGTGGGTGTGATTCTCCTCTACTACATCCTCGGAGTCAGTGCCTTAATTGGGGCAGCTGTCATCATCCTACTGGCCCCTGTCCAGTACTTTGTGGCCACCAAGCTCTCCCAGGCCCAGCGGAGCACACTGGTGAGTGAGCATCCTGCACGTGCTCATGCCCCTCTTCCCCATCCTTCCCCCATGCGGCTGTTTGCTCCCTCTCCCTATACATCCTCCCTCTTCCCCCAGGAGCCCCAGAACAGCCACACACACGCACATCCACACTATCATTAACCTTAAGCAGATCCCTTCACTGTCCAGGCCTCAGTTTCTTTGTCTGTGAAAGGGACTGAATGAAGAAGGCAAGGGGCACCCCCATGGGCACAGGAGCTGGGCATTGTCTGCCAAGCAGCGAGGGCATCGGCTCCGCTCCTTCCTCTTGGGTGGGATGGAGGCAAAGGAAACCCCTTTCTGACTTGGCAACCCCTGGCAGGAGTACTCCAACGAGAGGCTGAAGCAGACCAACGAGATGCTTCGAGGCATCAAGCTGCTCAAGCTGTACGCCTGGGAAAACATCTTCTGCACGCGCGTAGAGATGACCCGCAGGAAGGAGATGACCAGCCTCAGAGCCTTTGCTGTGTACACTTCCATTTCCAGTGAGTCTACCCGGCCGGCCCCATGCACGGCTGCTGATACGCTAGGAGAGGGTGTCAGGGCTTGAGGGGGACAGTGAAGGTGCAGAGGCAGGAGGTGTTGGCAGCACCCCATCCAGGGGAGCCTCACACTGTCTCTTGGAGGGAAGCCCCCAGAAGTCACAGTGTCCTCAGTCACTTACCCAGCAAATGCGTGTCGACAGCCTGCTGTGCGCGGGGCCCTGTCCTGGCCCTCAAGACACAGTGATGACAAAGACAAGGGAAGCCTTTTATGCACTATTGAACTGATCTGTCATCAGGAGGCGGCAATAAGTGCATGAATAGCACCAGTTTTGAATTCTCCGGGGTGTGGGGACTGCTTTCAGTAAGTCAGATTGAGCTTCCACTCACTGCCCTGGGGCAGCTACCATGGAAGGAAGCTTCCATCTAGCTGGGGTGTGAGAAGGAGAAAGCTTCCTAAAAAGCAGAAGTTCAAACCGGAGGTACTCATGAATGTAGGGACTGAATCTGCATTAACCACGTAAGTGGTTAGGAAACCCCAAGCCCAGAAAATAGAGGGCGGGGGGGGGGGGGCCCAAACTGGTAAAACTCCTACAGTCCCAGCAGACACATGTATTACTTTCCAGAGAACATGGGGCTCCAACAGCAAACGCTCCTGTCGAACGATGAGCTAATATAGAAACAAAAATCCACCAGAGGAAAATGTAGCACCCGAGTTAGAGTCAGCAAAATGCAAAACAATAGAATTATTCCCTCAATCCCTGGAAATGATAGAATCGTCTGGAAGAGATAATAAAATAAGCACATTCAACATAATTAAAGAGCTAAAGGAAAGTGTAAAACCCACAAGGTAAAACAGAAAAGTATCAGGGGGCAAAGAGACAAAAGGACTTCTAGAAACTAAAAATTTAGTTATCAAAATTAATTTGGTGGACAGTGGTCCCCAGGTCAGGCCAGGGCTCGTGGAGATCAGTTGGCCGACGGAGTCCTGGCCCAAGGTGATCTTACGGTTGGTCTAGTGGCTCCGAGGACCCGCCGGGTTGTGCTTCCTGCCCGAGTGCATGGTTGGGACGCAGATTGTTGGCAGCAGGCGGGCCTCACGCTGGTGGGCAGGCCTGTCCAGTTTAAGAGCCAGTGTGGTAGGAAGGGCCCAGGCGAAGCCCCCCAGAGAGGGGGAGAAAGAAAACAAACAAAAAGGACCCAAAAACAACTCAAGTGTAAAGTGTAAATGAATTCACAGAGCTGGAGGGAACGTTTGTGAGTCAAAAGATAGGTCTGAGGACGTTACATAGAATGTGGCGAGGGGACGAGGGGACCTAAGGAACGTGTGTCCTGCCAGTTGGGAGAACCATTCTCCAGATGTGACCTCCACAGGTCACATCTCCACTCTCCAGGGTGGGGCGTCTCCCTGAGGTCACTCGTGAGGCAAATGGCACGGCTCACACTAGATCCTCTGGAGACTCGTGCTGTGTTCCACAGACACCTGGACACCTCCGTGGGGTGAGAACTTAGGACACAATGGGGCACCGTTTTCAGACGATTTTCTCCGAGTGGGGGAGCAATAACCAACACTGGGCTCTGAGGGGAGTGGGAAACCGGGGAGGAAGTTAGGGGCGGTGCACGCTGCTGACCGCCTCCCCCAGCTCATGCCTGGAAGAAACGGGGGGCAGGGGTCGCCAGGGGTGGGCCAGCCAGTGGGAGGTGTAGCCGGCCTCCCAGACAGGGTCGTGGAGAATGGGACGGCCACTCGGGTCGTCCGTGTGTTCCTGGTGTTCATATTGCCTACAGAGAGGGTCTGGTGGGGCCAGGTGCCGGCATCCAACCCGCAGTTCCTCACAGGGCAGGGCTTGCTCCGAGCACCCCCAGTGCCCCACCTCCCCGTGTCCATCCAGACCATGGTGGCGCAGCACAGTCAGCAGTGGCCAGGCCATCCGCCATCCGTGGTGCCCGACATGGCATCTTTCTGCAGAAAGTCCCGCTAGGGCCTGCTTTTCTCAGAACGGAGGTGTAAACATGGCAGGCAGCCTCGGCCTCCTGGATTCCTCGGCAGGTTCCTGGTGTCTCCCTCGACCCCCCGCCCTGACCATGCGGTGTTCAGGGCCTCTGAGCCCCCTCAGGCTGCCCACTCCACAGGAGAGGAGGATTGGAAAGGCGTCTGCAGCCCCGGGCCCTCGTCACCCTCCTCTGGGCCAGCTCTGCCGGCCCCTGGGCCTTCTGGTTGTGTGACAGGAACCCCACACTGTGTATAACCCAGGTGAGGACACCTGGCTTCCGGACATCTCATCAGTGGGAGCCACTGCTGAGGTGGAGGAGGGTGACCCTGCAGCCAGGTGACTTCCTCTCCCTATATGCCTCTCCCTGGTATGACAGGGTGGGGTAGGGCAGGCTCCCCACTGCTGGGTGGGAGACAGAGAAAGGAAGCATCAAGGAAACTGGGGACCTGGGGCCCCCAAGACCCCTGGCAGCAACGTAGGGGCAGCCTCCACTCGTCTAGATGGGGGCGGCCCAGCTGCCTTGCTCCTAGGAGACGTAGGCCCGCTTCCTGCATTCCACACCACAAGCTGGGATGTTTGCTACGTGAACGACATTGGGTGACCCCCGGGTCCCGGGCTAGCCCACTGAAGCCTATCTAGTGGATGTTCTTTGACCCCTGGAGCCTCAGAAGACAAGCCATGGCTTTGCAAAGGCCCTGGGGCCAGGAGGACGTGGGGAAAGGCGATGCCATTTGTCGGGGGCTGAGATGACTGCGTTAGGAGCGAGGGGCTCCGGAGCCCAGCAGGGGTCTGCCCAGGGTCCCTCACCTGTCCAGGGCTCGGCGACCTGGAAGGACCAACAGAGCAGTCCAGGCTGGCCCCTGGCAGAGGGCAGTGGAGGGAAGGGAAGCACCCTCCGGGCGGGGTGGAAAGCTCCGGGCTGTTTGCTCACCGCGTGCCCTTCCTGGGTGGGTCTGTGGTCCGCGTGGGAGAGGGAGACAGCGCGGGAGGGGCGCCCCTGGCTTGCAGCTCGAGCTCCGTGTGATTCATGGACCTCCCGGGCTTCCCGCCTGCTGCTCCTGTCACCAGGGATCAGGACACAGGCCATTAGGCTTGAGGTAATGGGGCATCGTTCATTCTCTTCCCTGGCGCCGGCCATGGGGTCCTGGCGCCACAGAGGAGCCCCAGAGTCCCTCTTCCTGGGGGGGGGCCTGCTTGTGCTGCCTGCTGGGGGCGGGGATGGGGGGATGGTACCCCGACACTCTCCCCGCTGCTCTTGCCGTCAGAGCCCGAGCTGGTGCGGGCAAGGCAGGGGGTGACAGGGAAACGGGCGCAGTTTCCCTACCATCAAATCCAGAATCAGAGGAAAAAGGAAGCAGGGCACTCCTGGGGGGTTGAGCTAGCCCAGTCCGGGGGTCCCGCCCTGTACTGAGCACTGCGAGGGCTGCAGGAGACCACGGGGGGAGCTCCCCAGTTTCCAGAGCTGCCGTCGGGGAAACACGTGGCTGGGCACGCTGAGCGGTGAGGACCTGCTGGGTGCTGGCTGCCTCGCGGGCCCAAGGGCACCCAGTCCTCACACAGCTTGGGAGCTGTGAGCCCTGCTGCCCCCGGTACTGAGGCTCAGGGAGGTGCAGTGACCATCCCAGGGCCTCAGTGAATGGCAGAGAACAGAGAAGAAGGAAGCCCATATGGGCTGGGAGTTCCAGGAGCGTCATGCCAGAGGCGGCCTGAGCTGGACCTGGCAGGATGGGCAGGATGTCGGTGAGCAGAAAACGGGGAGAAGCTGGAGGCAAGGGCTGGGGCCGCTCCCCTGGCAAGTCAGTTTAATCCTTATTTCCCTGCAGAAGCAGGTGACTCTAGGTGTCTGAGGTGGGCAAGCTTTGCAGGAGTGACTAAGGGGTCAACCAACAGTCATGCTGCCAGTTCACTTTGTCCTTCGTTCAGCATCCATCCCAGAGCCTTCTCTCTGTGCCAGACTCTGCTGGGGCCTTGTGCATTTAAAAAGAGCCAAGTGGGGGTGGCACAGTTGGTTAAACATCTGCCTTTGGCTCAGGTCATGATCCCAGGGTCCTGGGATCAAGCCTTGTGTCAGGCTCCCTGCTTCTCCCTCTGTCCGTCCCCCTGCTTGTCCACTCTCCCTCTGTCAAATAAATATATAAAATCTAAAAAGAGAGAGAGAGAGAGAGAGAGAGAGAGAGAGAGAGCCAAGCACAATCCTCTCCCTCACAGTCTTGAGAGAGACCATGCCATGAGCAGTGGCGGTGAATGAGGCCAGAGCCAGGGCATCAGTTGCAGGTGCCCTGCTCTCTTTTGTGGTACTTCCCCGACCCTGGCCTCTTTTGTTTCTCTCATCACTTATCTGATAAATATTTACTGAGCACTCATGACATCCCAGGACCTGTGCCAGGCATCAGGGATGTAGTGCTGAGAGGAAATGGTGGTGCCGCCTGTGCTGCTTTTCAACCCAATGAAGACATCTTCCTCTTCTCCCCCTCCACCAGCCCTGCAAGGCTTCATTTACCCCTATTCTGCTCTGGACCCCATGATGAATCACTTCACTCTTCCCTCATTGATACCCACAACCTCTTGTTCCTGCCCTGCCAATCTTTTGGTCTAAATCAGCCCCGCTGCTGAGTTCCTCAGAGTCTAGTAGGGAGGCCAGACTGTGCTGTGAGTGAGAGGAACAGGAAGGGGTATTCCAGGTGCCCTTAGAGTCCTACCTACCCTAGTCTCTAGGGGTCATGGGTGGCAAGGAGACCTTGTCAGAGATGCCCAATGGGTGATGATCGATGAGTCAGATGAGGGGAAGAATGTTCCAGGCATGAAGGCCTAGAGGTGAGAAGGATGGTGGTGTGTTCAAGACTAGAACATAATCTGCTGAGGAGAGAGTAACAAGACCAGATGGTGCAGGACCCTGTGTGCTGTGTTCAGACCCCGGCTTTTCTCCCGAAGCAGGAGAGCCACTGAAAGAGTTGAAGGAAAGGACAGGTGTGTCTGGCATCTCTTCGAGTGTTCCGTGGTCAGGGGTCTTCCTTCTTCCAGCCGGCCTGAACCACGGCCAGGCGGGGCCTCCTTGGAGGGATGTAACTGGCCTCATATCATGTCCTGAAAAACAAAAAAACAAACCCCCAAGCCTAACTGTGTCACAATTGGGGATGTAGGGGTGGGCAGGAGGGTGCTGGTGAACCCCATTTGCAGGCCACCCAGCCTCTCCAGGGCCTGGCTATTCTTGGCAAGTCTTGTCCCTACCCTCCTCCACAGAGGCCCTGACTCAGAGCAGCTGGTGTCTCAGGACAAGTTCACCTCCAGACCCGGTCCCCCTTCCTCCTCTGTCTTCAACATCTGTCCTTCCTTCCAGCAGCTGGCGCAGCCACAGCGTGTTGCCGATGCCTATCCCAGCTCACTCCGCTCAGGCGGAGAGGTGGCTGAGGGAGAGCCAGGGAGGTGCGTGGGTAAAAAGGTCGGTGACAGCGGCCCTCCTGCCATGCTTCCTCCACTGCCAGCAGCCCACCTACCTTTCCCTCCCCTCTGTAGACTTCGGACTGACCATCCACCTGAATGGGAAATAGCCACATGCATTCAAAATACATTTCCCCCTCTGGCAGGTGCACCTGCAGTTAGGCCCAGCCTGGAGCCTGCAGCTCCTCCCTGGCCCTCCGTGGAGACAAAGATCAAGTGAACCAGAAGCACAAATATGGCTGGCCGTACCTCCCGGACACACGGCCTCTGAAATATTTATGGATGTGGTGGAAATGGATAGCTCCTGGTATTGCAGTGCAGGCTGGGGCACCCACAAGGCCAGGGGGGCATTCGTTGAGCAAAGCCAGAGGGAGCGGCTGAGCAGAGCCCTGCTTTGGTGTTGGTTGATTTGATATTTGCTTTGTCTGGGGGATGGCAAGGGGTAGTTGTGAAAAGTTGACACAACCGTTCACTACTATACCTCCAGGACCCAGCGCAACCCCTGGGGCAGAGAAGATCCTCGACAAATACTTTTTGAAAGAATACTTCGTAAAGGATATTTGGAGAGGCAGCTGTTAAAACAACACATACCTGTTTGTCTGTCTACACCATTACAGAGAGACCTTCACTTTCAAAGGCGGCGTGTCAGGCCTGCCTACAGGCAGTTACACTTTGCCATAATGGAACCACACTTCACTTAGAGCTGTTGCACACTACTTCTTGCTCCCTAGCATTACGATTTGAGCACTCTCACGTTCTTCTCCCTCCATTCTGCAGCCCGACCCAGAGAAAATCAAAATGCGTCAGCTCACCCCATGCCAAAGTTGGAGGGAAATCAGTGGTTAGTCATATTTCCCACCCCTTTGCCACCTTTAACGTCTTACAGGGCTTCATGGGGTTCGGGAAAACAGAGGCAAGGCCTCAGGTCTTCAACTTGTAACAACTGGGACACCTCACTGCCTTCCCCCCACCCTCACAAGCATACAGGACTGTCTGCTGAGCTGAGACCCACCAGAGCCTGTAGCATCCCAGGCTCCCTAGTGTCAGATCCTGCCATCCTCAGTTCCAGTCGTGGCCACCCCAGGGCCCAGGGGGGTGGTCTTCAGAGAGGTCTTGAGGACACACAAGCAGCTGGTGATTCTCCCCACCCCCCAGCCCCCACCCTGAACAGCACCCAGAGTTCCCTGCACAAAGCCTGTCCTTCCAGGAGACGAGAGGGTGGGGGAAACAGAAAATCTCATTTTCATTCGCTAACATCTGCATACAACAACAGAACAGAGCAGAAATTAATTATATCATATACATTCTCCACACTGCTGCATCAGCGTCGGAAAACTCCTTTTCAAATTTATTTATACCTTGTCTCATTCCTCAAAGGAGTTTCAGGCAGCTACAAGAATAAGGAATAAAATAGGGAAAAAATAAATTAAAAAAAAAAAAAACACGACCAGAGAAAACATGCAGTAGAACAAAATAGAACAAAATATCAATTATCACACATTTCTGACTGCAAAATCTCCCCTGGAGTTGATGTACCACATTTACTAAAACAGCCACTTGGCATTAGATGTTGCCAGTTTATTTTGTTTCGGGTGGTTTATTGCTGTGGCTGTGGTTTTGTTTTGCTGTGACAGATAGTACTGCAGCTCACACCATCCTGCTGAGGGCTTTGTGCTTCTCTTGAGTGATCATTCAAGATAAACTCCCAGGAGAGAGATTATAGGATTGGAAGGTCTGAACTTCTGTGTGGCTCTAGCTAACAAAGCACCAGATTGCTTTCTAAGCAGAGTTGTACCAATTTGCAACCTGACTTCAAGCCGACCCTTGAGCTGGGAGTTGAGCCTCAGATGTGTGGGAGGGGTCTCTGCCTGGGGCAGGGGGGCTAGTGGTGGTGCACTTTGGAGGAAGGTGGTGCCTTCTCCTGTTTGGTCATGGATGGGGATGCGCAGGAGAGAAACAGAAGGAGGCTCTTGCCCTGAAGTTGCTGTCTGGAATACCTGGCCCTGGAGGCGATGAGCGTGGCTACCCCAGTGTTTACAGCTGCGTGGTTGGTGTTGATCAAGGGCCCAGGACTACTGGTGTCTCCTCTCCCTCCCTCTCCTGAGCCCATGATGGCTGTGCTATGTCCTAAGTCCCTGAGCTGGATCCCTTACACTGTAGGAAAAATGTATAATGTTTGTACTCCCTGCCAGAGACTCTGAGGGAGAGCTGTGGTATTGTGGAAGGTACCTGGAGACCATAGTGCCTTCTCCAGGAAAGGGCAGTTAAAGGTCAGGTATGATATTGGTGTTGATAAAAAGCCTTGTGGTCAGAGAGGTTAGCAGTACCTCCAAGAGCTCTGGCTGGATTTCCTCCAAGACACTGGGAGCTCTCCAATGGCTGGGTCTGCTTTCCTCATCAGATTAGGAATTCCCCAAAAATGGGCCCAAAGTCTTTCCTGTCTGCTAGGGAACCCCCTAGAGGCATGTTCAATGTCTCCCCATCCTAACAGGGGCTTCCTGAGAGCATAGTTCTGTCCCCTTCCTCAGACAAGGACCGCCCCCTCCATGGGCAGACGCTATGTTCTTCCACTCACTAGGGGTCCCACATCTCCAGAATACACTGTCCATGTACTAGCTGGTTCAGGACTTTTGGAGTCAGTGGACAGTCAGCTTCTTGGAATGGTGTTGACCATCTGTAATTCTTCAGTGTTTCCAGGGACTTCACCATTCATTAGATAGGGGCCATGTGCACAGGCTGATCTGTTGGCATCTGGCTCCTGGCTCCTGGCTCTTGGCTCCTTCTGCTTTAATTTGGCTAATTATACAACCAGACTCCTTGCTGGGCTGGGCCGGGCTGGATGAACCTCCTGGAAGGAAGGAGCGGGAGATGGGAAGGTGGCAGCTAGCATAGTCATCCCTTACTGTAGGAGGGCTGCTCTTCGGAAGTTAAGGCCTGGGGTCAGGGCTCTCTCCGGCGTCTCACCCCTTGGGCCAGAGGAGCATGACCCGTGGAGCAGAACTATGCTAATAGCCTGGCAGGTGTGATGTTCAGGCAGCATCCGGGACTCTCAGAGCCTGTTCTCTACATCATCTCCTCTTACTTTGGAGGAAGCCAGAGTGTGCGAACAAATAAGTACAAATTTACAAAAACCAGGTGAAGAAACCAAGGCCTGGGAAGGGTAAATGACCTGCCCAAGGTCAGGGACTCTACCCTCGTCTGACTTGAAGTCCAGCTCCCTTTGCTCTGAGAAGGAGGGTACCCCTTCTGTGCAGGTGCAGCAAAGCACCTGCCCCCACCTGGGCATGGACTCTAAGCCTTAGAGCCAAGGGAGACCCTCTTTTAAGCTGTTATGAATCCCTCAGCATGAGCGAGTTTGAAATCCTTCCCAGGAGCCTTGAGAGATTAGGACACCCCTAAGCCTCAGAGAGAAGCTGGCTTGAGGGGATATGGGGACCAGAGGCAGAGGAAGGGGTAGCAACCTGGTGCCCCCAGACACTGACGCTGCTGACCCCCTAGTTGGCCAGAGACAGTCCTCTTTCCACCACTTCTCTCACCACTGCACACAGGGCTTCCTTCACACCAGCTACCTGGAGCAGAATAAAAGCATCGAAGCCTTTGTCTGAAGGCTGGGTCTTAGACGCAGGGGACAAGAGTCCTGAGGGAGGCAAAGTCAGGAGCTGGAGGGGCCGCAGAGCTGGAGAAAGGACCGCCTCCGGGCCGGCCTGGGCAGCTTCACCTTTAGCCATCTTATGCCTCCCACTAAACTCCCCTTGTGCTTCCTCCACAGTTTTCATGAACACGGCCATCCCCATCGCAGCAGTGCTGATCGTAAGTGGACCCCTGCTGCCTCTCCGGCGGGGGCGGGTGGCAGAGAGTGGCTGTGGCCAGAGGCTGCCCCGGGTCTGGCCTTTCTGCACAAGGGGTTCGGATGAGGCGCTCAGCACTGGGCACCTCATCCAAAAATAGGGCGACAGATTGCAGATCCGTCCCCGACATCAGGTAGGCAGGGGCCTCCGCCTCTGGGCCTGGAAGACCAGTGGCTTAGGCTTTAAAGAAATCTCACTGTCTTTTAAAAAGAGCTGTCAAACTCTTAAGTTATAAAAATAAGACACGTTTATCGCAGAAGCGTTGGGAAACTCAGAAAAGAAAGGACAAAGAGATTTTAAAACACTCGTGATCCCACTGGCAACATTGTCAATGTGTTTCTTTCCAGTCTCTTTTTAAGGCACGTTATATGACATTTTTACAAAACTAGGATTGTGCTGTGCATGCTGTTTTGTAACCTGCTTTTTGAAATTTCAGTACGTGGCACGAACAATTCTCCGCGTCATTCAGTAGTACGATGGAGGTTTTCTAATGCAATTTTGACCCAAGCTGTGTGGGAGTCCAGCAGTGTGGGCCGAGGTGTGCCCCTCCAGGAGGGCCCAGGCCTCCGCCTGCCCAGGGCTCCCACCCGGGTTCTGTGACGGCCACAGTTCTTTAAAAAGACGCATGTGTTTCCCCCCGGGGCCGGAGTCTCTGAGCTGTGGCGAGTTCACAGCCTGTCAGGCACACTTGGGAATTCACTTTTGACATGATCTGCTGGGCTGGTTCTGGCCTGGCTCCTTGAGGAACTCTGGGTGACAGAAGCTGCTGAGCCACCCACGTAGCCAGCCAGGTAGCCAGCCAGGTAGCCAGGGGCGGGCACAGACAGGAGGTGGCTTGGGAATGACCAGGGGTACATTTTCCCCGACTGGGGACTGCTGTCTGAGGGGAGCAGAGCTGACCACCCCGAGGGCTCCTCTGGTCGTTCCTGGCAGGGACGGGGCAGGACAGGGAGCAGCGGCCCCAGCCCTCCAGCTCAGAGTCCTGAACTTGCTGGAGACATTTCGAGGAGATGACTAAAGATGATGAAGGGGTCTCTAAGTGAAAGTTCTCCTTGGGTCCCCTGCTCCAGGCCAAGGGCCGAGGGCTGCCAGTGTGGGAGAGGCCCATGCTCCGCGTCATGCATCTCACATGTGCCTCTGTCCACAGACCTTCGTCGGCCACGTCAGCTTCTTCAAAGAGGCCGACTTCTCACCCTCGGTGGCCTTTGCCTCCCTCTCGCTCTTCCACATCCTGGTCACACCACTGTTCCTGCTGTCCAGCGTGGTCCGGTCTACAGTCAAAGCTCTAGTCAGGTGAGAGGAGGGTTCAGCAAGGACTCTGGACTGGCAGCTCGTGTGGTGGCACCAGGGCTTGCTCCAGTGACCACTACAACTACAGCTGTTCGGTCCAAGACATGCTTCCCTGTTGATCTGGGCCTCTCTGAAGGTGGTCCTAGTTGGCCAGGGGGACATAGCCATGTGTGGCTCCCCTCCATGCCATCCCTGAGAAGGAGTCAGGCAACTGGCTTACATACCTCCAAGGAGAGGGACTCAATGGCACGTGCAAGACAACTCTATAAAAAAAGGAAAAAATTCAGTATTGAGTCAAAATGGGTATTTCCTCATAAATCCTACCCATCAGTACTAGTATCACCCTCCAGAGCCACCCAGGGTGGCTCCCACTGTTCCTCCCCACATGGCAGCCCCTCGGACTTCAGAAGGTATCCACTGAATCTTTGTCTTCCTCAGGCTGAACATCCCCTCTTCTTTCCACGGGTCCCAGAGCCTTCCCGACCCTGGTCAGTAAAGCAGCTTCCCCTAAGTGCCTGCATGTCCTCTTCCCCGATAGCCTGCAGCTCTGGGGGGCCCCCACTACTGGGCTCTAGAGCTGGCCACTCTCCCAGAGGCATCACCCCCTTGGGAATGAAAGCCTGAGGGCAGAGGGCTGAGGTTTCAGCTGGGGAGTTCCATACCTGGAGTGTGACGATCTCCTTGACCCTCTGAAGTAGCTCCTTGGAAGCCAGGCCTTGGCCTGCCTCTGGGGAGAGCCGGCTGTGTCATTTCCCTCTGCCAGTGGGACCGCACAGTAACAAATGTGCTCTGTACCCAAGCCTCTTCAACCTTGAGGAAAGTGACACCCCTGTCGCATGAGGCCCTGGCAGGTCCTAGGCAAGCTGGCAAGGAGAAATAATCGTTGGAACAAAGTCCCTGGTGGAAAGAGCAACTCACACGAGGAAGCTCTGGCCAGGGTTCTAGGGTAGGAGGGAGCAGAGCTCCAGCAGGGTTGTGGTCAAAGGAGTATATGACTAGGGAGTAGTTAAACCAGGGCTGGGAAACGATGGCTCCCATTTCCAGGCTGGGCTGCGCTGATTCAGTTTAATTGGCCATGGCACAGTGACTTCTAATGACCATCCCTCCTCCCCCACCCCCACCCCAGCCCAGGATGTGACTCTGTATAGAAACCACAGGTTCCAGGATGCTGGCCCAGCTGGAAATCCCTTGTGCTCACCTTGAAGCATTTCCATAATCTCAGGGTCACCAGGCTATCTGAGGCCTTCTCCTCCTTGAGTTGGGAATAATGGCAACCTCCCCAGTGGGAAGCGTTTAACACAGTGTTTGGCATGCAGTATGTGCTCAATAATTGTTATTGAGTAATTATTATTGTTAATGACAATAATAATTAATCCAATAATTGGATAATATTGGACATTAATTGGACAATAATCCAAATCCTAACTAACCCTGGCTCTGACCAACCTTAACTCCAGCAGTAACTGATAAAGCCCAACATCAAAGAACCAACTTTAACATTTACCTAACCCTAAAACTAACCAATCTCACCGTAACCCGGACCCTAACCCAGTCCCGCTGACTGGTCAACTGGAACAAATCCGGAGGACAACTGCCCACCATGGATGCCCTCCAGTCTGGCCCCCTCCAGTGTGGGCTTTGTGGGGACAGCACCGCAGGACCCAGAACCTTCTCAGAGCTGCTCTCTCAGGCTGCGCCCTCCTCCCTTTCCCCCTCCCCTCTGCCCCTGGCAAGGGTGAGGGGTGTCTCTGTGCTTCCTCTGCAGCGTGCAGAAGCTGAGCGAGTTCCTGTCCAGTGCAGAGATCCGTGAGGAGCAGTGTGCGCCCCGTGAGCCTGCGCCGCAGGGCCAAGCCAGCAAGTATCAGGCAGTGGTGAGTGCCCGGCTTTCCCCCCTGCCCATCTCAGTGTTTTTCTCTTGTGCCCTGCTGTGTCCTGCCTCAGCCTTTGCTCACAGGAAGGGGGACTCCCTTCCCTGCCCCTGTCCCAGCCCTATGGATCCTTACCTCCCCCTGACCATTCCCAGCCCCTTAAGGTCGTGAACCGCAAGCATCCAGCCCGGGAGGACTGTCGGGGCTTCTCGGCCCCGCTGCAGAGGCTGGCCCCCAGTGCAGATGGGGATGCTGACAGCTGCTGTGTCCAGGTGAGTCCGAGACCCTGCACCCCCACACCTGGCTCCCCGGCACCATTTCCAGGAGGGAGCTCGGCACCAGAGACCTATGTGCTGAGTCCTCTGACCTAGAGGTCACCCTGCCTGCCTGGAGGGTCCGTGGCAGTCCCAAAACTAGGAACAGGTCTTCCTCTTCTGTTGAATGGGGGAACACGTGATTGTCCTCTTAGAGAGGGTTCCTTGGGCAGGGATCAGCATGAGAAGGCCATGCCCCCACTCCTCTGCCCTAGAAGTGATCCAGGGCCTGAAATCTGTCTTTTGGCTTTCATGGGGGAGGGGAGGCAAGAGACCGGTCACACTGAGAACCTCTCTGTTCTCTTCTGGGCGGTGGGGTACCACCAATAAAGATCATTGGAGGCTTCTTCACATGGACCCCTGATGGAATTCCCACACTGTCCAACATCACCATCCGCATCCCCCGAGGTACGGCCGGCTCACCTCTCCAGTCTGGGGGTGCCCCTTCCCCCTGTCCCACTGAGTGACAGAAAGAAAAAGAAAAATCAGCACGTATTGAGTACCTGCTCAGTGCTCACCCTTGGTGGATACTCTGGAGTATGAACTCCACAGAGAAGTGGGCTGCATCCTCTAGGAGTCCACATGCTAGTGGGAGTGCAGAAGCAAGGACAGGACGAGACAGCGGGACCTTGATGTCCAACCATCTGCGGCAGACATACGGGTGCCTCACAGAAAGAAGAGCAGTCCCGAGTAGCCAGGGAAGGTGCTATGGAAGAGGTGGGGTACCTGAAAATGAGCAGGATCCCTCGGGCCGTGAGGCACAGTGGGCATCCTGGCAGAGGCAATAGTATGAGCAAAGAAAGCATGGAGGTGGGGTGGACGTGGGACCCAGAGTGGCCTTTGTTGGGACCATGAGGAGCTGGGCTCACACTAAGGAGCAAGAGAAAGGAGAAGCAAGGACTCAGGAAGGAGTAGAGGATCACTAGTAGAGGAAGGACCTGGGAAAGTTTCCAGAAGGAAAGGCTCAGAGGGGGATTCCAGGTGGAAGGAAAGCAAATGGGAGTCCCAGGGTTGGGTGGATCTGTCTGTTTTTTCTGGGTGGCAGTCGTTCAGACTCCCTCCTGCCCCAGTCCGATCTGCTACCCACCCTCCCTGCAGGCCAGCTGACCATGATCGTGGGGCAGGTGGGCTGCGGCAAGTCCTCACTCCTCCTAGCCACCCTAGGGGAGATGCAGAAGATCTCAGGGGCCGTCTTCTGGAACAGGTACTAAATTCATCCTCAGGGCTCAGTGGGACGAGCTGCCAGTGGGCAGGTAGGCAGCCTTTCAACATCCTTAGTGGAGGGTGCATCACGCACTTATCCAGTACTCAATGCTGTTCAATGTTATTCTCATCATCATCATTAGTACTTATTAAACCCTTACTATGTGCCAAGTACTTTGCTAAGTGCTCTGCATGCATTATTTCATTTAATCCTTATGACAACCAGCAAGGTAAGAACTGTCAACAGCTCTTGTTTTATACAGGAGAGTTAAAACTACTTTGCCCTAAGTCACTCTGCTAGTAAGCGGCTGAGCTGGAACTCTAACTCCATTCCGTTTGACTCCAGACCCTGTGCTCACTCAGCTGCACTGCCTCTCTGTGTGGGGAACTGCAACACAAACACTGGTTTCCGGCTTGGTCATCAGCAAAGCCGACACAGACCATTCAGTGGGTGTTTTGAGGAGCCAGAGATAACCCAGACAAACGTGGGCTTCTGGACAAAGATCACTGTCTTAATTAAAGAGCCAGATCCCCCGGTTGAGTCAATCACGAATCTATTATTTATACCCACCTACTTCCAAAAATCACTTGAAACCAGTTGATAAAGGATGCATATAAAATAGAAGCTTTTTAAAAAGAAGAAAAGAAATGAAGAGGGTGAGGCTCGGGGGCTCACCTCCCTGCCAAACCCTCAGCCCAGGGCAAGGGGCACCTGACAGGTACGTAGAGCACTTTTAGGAATAAAGTTTGCAGCCAATCCAGCAGAGGACAAGCTTTCCCTACAATCATTTCTAGGGGGAAATTATCATTCAAGAAGGCAGGTTTTCATAGGCCTGAGTACAGAACTGAACAGAGAAAAAGACCTCGGGCCCAGTGTCTGAATATCTGTAGGCATCTCCATTTCCTGCTTTTCCAAAATGTCCCTGAATGGTGCATCCAAGAGACGGCAAGTTTCCCTTCTCGGTGGGGCTATGGGCTGGCAGACAAGCTCTTTGGGTTTCCCATGACGTCGGTCCCTGGGCTCTTTTTTTTAAGGGTTTATTTATTCATGAGAGATGGAGAGAAAGAAGCAGAGACACAGGCAGAGGGAGAAGCAGGCTCCATGTAAGGAGCCCGATGCAGAACTCGATCCTGGGACCCCAGGATCACACCCTGAACTAAAGGCAGACACTCAACCACTGAGCCACCCAGGCATCCCTGGACAGAGGGGTCTCTGCCTCCATTCCCCATCTTATTTGGGGGATTTCCCAACACGGCCTGACTGGGAAGGAAGAGCATTAGGTTTGAGGTCACTTTGTAGGTCCCTTGTACCAACTGTCCCTTAGGGCTCTGAAGGGAGGAGGCCTGGCACATTGGCTGACAGCATGTGTCTGCAAAGGGAAGATGGGATCACGGAACCCAGAGATTGGGGCTGCCCCTGGATTCTGGGGTCTGTGTCCCACTCAGCATGAGTCAAGCCCCCTGTGAACCCCCTCCTTTTGCCCCACTTTCTTCATCTCCTCCCCAGGCCCCAACCTCGGGGTGGGGGGGCTCGAGGATGCCTCACACCAGCATCAGCCCCACTCTGTCCTCTGCAGAGGCAGCAGGCATGCTTGGCAGGGGTTCAGCCCCCACCCCTTCTCCAAGCTTTGCCAACCCTCAGGGTCTGACTACCGCCACCTCTCTCTTTGAGAACCTCTGCTCCAGCCCAGGGGATCCAAGGGGACCTCCCTAGGGCAGCTAACATTGAGCAGCTCTTCTGTGCCAGGCACTGTGCAAGGCACTTTATTACTTTCATTGTCCCAGGCAGTCTTCACCAAGCTCTGTGAGGTAGACATCATTAACCCCACTTAATAGATGAGGAAACTGAGGCAAAGCAAGTTAGCTGAGGCCACACAGCTCTCAAATGGCAGAGGTAGGGTTTGAACCTAGGTGCTCAAGGCCATGGGCTTCAACTGAGTCCTGAAAGAGAAGGAGTCCAAGAGCTGTGTGAGGAAATCGTTAGCCTGGCAGTCCCAAGGCCAGCAGGCCCCATGACCACGGCACCGCCCTACCTCCTCAGCAGAGCCACTGTCCAGGTGCTCACAGCTCTGTCCCCATGACGCTCACCCTCAACAGGCAGGTGGGCCCCAGCTCCCCGATCGGCTCCAGTCTGGGGAGTGGGGTGGTGATGCAAAGGTCCTCTCACCCCTCCAGGATCCATTTGTCCCTTTCCACCGTGCAACTTCCATCCCAAGCACAGCGAGGCACATCCTGCACATCCTTGCAGCCAACCCTAGGAAGTTGCGAGACTTTGTTCACCACTCAGCTCAGGCTCCAGTCTCTCTACCTTGATGTATTCACTCACCCCCTGTTTATTGAGCACCTACTGTGTGCCAGACCCTAGGCACAGCGACAGCAATGCAACGGTGATTAAGACACGGCCCTTTTATGGGAGGGGAAGGGAGATCAGTGCCGTAGTCGAGCGCAGAGGAACAAGGATCTCTGTGGCCAAGAAGGGAAGGCTCACGTGGATGTGGTACTTGGGCCTTGAAGGATGAGCGGGTTTCCTCAGATGAAAGAGGCAAGGGTAGGAGGAGAAGGTGTTCCAGGCAGGGGTACGGCCTGGGCAAAGGCAGGCTGATCAGAACATGATTGTGGTACCTGGAGCACTGAGGGCGTGGGGTGCAGGGGCGGACCACAGGATGGGGGCCTGGCTCGGCTCAGACACCCCTGCATCCTAGGCCTGGGAAATGCAGTTTGGCCTGAAGTCTGTACAAGAATCACGCTGGGGATAAAGGAAGGCGGAGGGGAAGGGTCTGTAGAAAGGGAGACAGGAGCTCATTACGGTGGCTGGGAGAAGGAGTCTGGACACATGTGGCTCAGTTGCCTTCATCTGCCGTTTGCCTCTCAAAATCCTGGACGTGTACAAGCTCTGTCTGGTGCACCTGCCCCAAACAATGAGTTAAGTGCGGGGGCCGTGTGGTGAGGGCCCCCCTCTTACCTGTGAGCTCCCTGCCTCAGACACTGGCCCCAGTCCGCAGGGGGATGAGGCCCTTGCAAAGTGAGCAAGAGCAAAATAGCATCTAACGTGCCAGCCATTCCTGCAGGTCTGCCTCTCTGCAGCCCGAGGCAAGGGTGATGCCAGACTGTTCCAACGTCTCCATCCACACCACAGCCAGGGCCTGGTGACCAGGCAGCCAGAAAGAGTTCCAGGAGGCAGGGAGCTGGGGGATTAGGAGGTGCAGAAAGCAGATAGCAGCAGAGCTCTGGAAGCAGGCTGCCTGGGTTCAGATCTGGGCTCTGTGCTTTGGGAAATTCTCCGACCTTTCTGTACCCCTTATTCCCATGGGGTTGATGTGAGGCTTAACCTGGCATGTAGTAAGTGCCCTATAAATATTATCATAAATATTATTCTTTGACAATGTACTTCTATGGCAGGTATAAAATTCCCCTGTTGCTCTTGAATTGCGCTCCAGCCTGTCTCCCAGGGGAGATGGTAGTCAGCTCCCCGGGACAGAGGCCATATCTTATTTGTCTCTCTGTATCCACAGTGCCTTTGCTAAATTTGCTAAGTGAATAAACTGGGAACAATTTATGACCTTCAAGAGACCGCCACCACAGATGTGTCTTTACATCTCTCTCTTCCTGCACGCCTTTGCCCGGGCTGTTCCCCTAACCCAGAAACCCACCGCACAATTCCCCACCAACATGTGGAAAGCGGGAACCCTACCCGCGCATGCCTCACGCTGTGTTTTGATTATCTACTGATGTGTCTGTCTCCCCCCATGACACTGGGCATCTTGAGGACAGAACCCTAGGATTATTCTATGTCATACCCCAAGTGCCCAGCACAGGATGTGTATTTTGTGAACTTCTCCATGTAGACTACAGAGGAGAAGACCTACCTCCAGGGAGTTCACCCAGGGACTCTATCCTGGGTGGATAGAGACACGCAGACTGAGCCCCAGGATGGGCATGGAGGGTCCAGCAGGTGAGGTCCTGCATTCCAGGCTGGACGTTTACTGCAGCGGCCCTGGGCAGATCCAGCACATTAGCCGTCAGCCCCGGATCTCAGGGAGAACCTCGTGGCTCCCACGCATCCACCTTAATGATAGGTGCCTGCCGGTGCCTGGCTGTCTGCTTCAGAGCACTACCAAGCTGGGAATTTGCAAACTCTCTCTTTAGTATCTGAGAAGAAAACATTTTGATGAAAAGTTAATATTAGCAGATATACTCAAGTGAAATTCTTTCCCTAGAAGTAAGGAATAGGGCCATTAATGACCACAGTAGACCCATTTTAAATGTCCCCGGGAGCCAACAGGAAGCAATGCCCTGAGGAGAGCACTGGAGTGGGGAGGAAGGTTCCATTTCCTGATGAGGAACTACAAATTAGTCTCCCAGGCGCGCCCTGCTGCCCCTGCTCCCACCATCTGCTGAGGCACCCACGCAGAAACCATTTGTTATTTCTGTCTGTGCCCACTCAGGAGGCCTGGGCCCAGCTTGCCCTGGGTCTGCCTCAGGATGCTGTTGTCTTGTGGGGGTTGGTGTGAAGGTCACCTCCCAATACCCCTGATTCAGGTCTAGGAGGTGAGAAACAGCCTCCTCTCATGACTGCCTTGTGGTCCAATCTGCCCATGCAGTTCCTGGAGCCTTTGGGGAGTAGGGGTAAAGGGCTCAAGTGACCCCAGGTTTCCTGGAGGCCGGTCAGGTGAGATGGTAAGCAGACAAGACAAGGGGCACTGCATGGAGGTGATGAGCCAGGTGTGGAACCAGATGGTCTCTGGTTGTAGTCCTGAGTCTGCCACTTGCTTGCTGTGTGACCTTGGGCAGGTTATTTTACCTCTCTGAGTTTTAGTTTACTCTTTGGGACAATGAGGAAAACCCTTTCCTCTCTCAGAGACTTGGTGTTAGGACCCAATGACATGAGTTGAAAAGGGCTCTGTGGGTAAAAGGTAACATTTTAAGGTGGCTACAGGCCTGTCAGGAGCAGGATGAAGGGACCACGGGAACCCAAAAGTTCTAGCTTTCTCTTCCAACCTGTTTCTACCTTTTCCCTTTTTATTGATTGCTGGGGTCTTAAATGAGTGGTGGGCCCATTCGATTCCTCCTCCGTATGCATCTTGGGGACCAAGCACTGAGCTAGAGGGTGATCCCCCTGTTTTGTAACCCCACGTCCTTGCCTCCAACCAGCTCGGGGCTGTTTGTATATACACTGTCCCAGCATCACTGAGGTTTGTGCCATGACCACAGTTTTATGCAGAAGGAAACAGAGGCTCCCCTAAGGAAAGGGAGTCGCCGAAGATTTCACAAGCAGGAGCAGAGCAGCTCCTCAGGTAACGAACTTCAGAGCCCATATCCTTTCCAGCTCTGCGCTGCCCTGCCTTCCTCCTCTTCCGCCGGGCCAGCCCCGGGAATCCTGTCCCGGCATGGGGTCCTCCCCTCACTTCAGAGTTCATTTTAGTGAAAAAATTAGAAAACCTTCAAAGTTTTTAGAATTTACATTTTTCTCTGATTCTGGAAGGATCCCAGTTAAATTAGAAAAGAGACACGACTATAAAGAAGCTAAAAATCACTTAATATGCCATCACCTACAAGTTTCCAGTCTCCTTTCTGCACATTTGCAAAGTGTTTGTGGGTCCTTTACCCCAAAATTTCTACAGTGCTTTCTTACTCCTACTCCTCGTGGCCCTCATAACCTTCTGACTTCTGTCCCTGTCTGCTTTGCCCTACCGGCGTGTGAGGCTGGCACTGTGCCCTGCTCCAGTGCGGTGCGCACACGCATGCCTCACTCCTGGCTGGTTGGCGGGAAGGACGTGGGTGGGAGAACCAGGGAGTATTGTCCTTCAGCTCAGTGCTCGGTCCCCAAGGCACTGGCAGAGGAGGGATGCAATGGTCCCAACACATTTAAGACCCCAGGAATCAATGAGAGAAAGTATGTGCCACATGTACCAGTTTGTACTTTTTAGATGGAAACATCTACTACACACAAAGGCCCGGGGAGGCTCATTCTAGGGAGGCTGGGGCGACACTGGGAAAAGGCAAAGATGTACCTGGATTCATACCAGGTTCCCAGCTTCCCCTCCCTGACTGTAACACTGGGCATGTCATTGCCAACTCCAAGCCTCAGTTTCCCCTATCTGTAAAACGGGGCTGTGAACCCTTCTTTATAGTGTTGGCCTGTGGATGATGTGGTGAATACAAAAACGTCTTCACGCTGTTCCGGGCATGAGGACGGCCCCCAGTGAGCGCAAGTCTCTCCCCCTCCCTTCTTCCCAAATCATTAAGATGTCAGTTAATAACCTCCCTTTATTATAAGTCTGTCGTGTGCTAAGCAATGTGAGGGCTGGAAAAGATGCTCTTCCTGCCTTAAAATCCCACTGGAGATAAAAGACTTAGCCAGGAGCTGATTAGAGAGTAAGGTAGTCCATTATAAGGGCTAATTGAGCAGCCCAGACAATGATGCAAACTGAGTTAGGGCCGAGAGCGCTCACTGTGCGCTGAGGTCCTCAGAGAGGCTGCAGATGTGCTTTCTCCCAGATAAATAACAGCCTTTGCAACTCTGGAAGCAGTCAAGGCAGGAAGATTCCAGGGACAAGCTTATCTGCGCTGTGGCCAGAGCTGGAATTTGTAAGCTTTGGCTTTTCATCTGTCTCACGTTACCAGCTGCCCAGAAATGACAGCAATCTGGTGGTTGGAGAACATGAGGTTCGCTGAGGTTGAGAGAATGAGATGAGATCCCAAAAACCAGAGAACAGAAACCGAGGGTACATGTGACTACATATCCATCAGGATCTCCCCTCAGTCCCGCCCCTTGGCAAGACACAGAAGGGACTGCATCAGGCTCCTTTCCACTCCTGATTTTGTCCAGCCCAGGGTTTCTGACAAATCACAGTGAAGTAACAATGGTCGTTAAGAGCGTGAAGCTTTAGGACCACCCAGGTGGCTCAGTGGTTGAGTGTTTGCCTTCAGCTCAAATCAAGATCCTGGGGTCCTGGGATCGAGTCCCGCATCAGGCTCCCCATAGGGAACCCACTTCTCCCTCTGCCTATGTCTCTGCCTCTCTCTGTGTATCTCTCATGAATGAATAAATAAAACCTTCTTTAAAAAAAAGGCATGGAGCTTTAGAGTCAGAGAGCTCTATGTTCTCTGCGATTTGTTGGCTGTGTGGCTCTGGGCAAGTTACTTAGCCTCTCTGACCCTCACTTTCTCTGACTGTAAGGAGGAGACAGTCAAAATCAGCCTCCTTCCTATGATTATTTTAAGTTTAAAAAAGACAATACTAAAAAAAAGAAAAAAAGACAATACTATTAGGTGCTTATCACAGTGCTTACAAAAAAGTTCAATATAAATGTTAGCTAGTTTTAGTATGATTAAAGTAAGATCTGTATGAAAATAGAGCCAATTGCTTTTCCCCAAATGTGCATGTCAGAAGCACACATTCTATTGGCAGAAGGTTGACAGGTGGTGTGGGGCAGGAGAAAGAGCACTGGCAAAGTTGGCACCAAAATTCAAGTTGCCTCACTCAGTGTTCTCAATTTTTTTTTACCATAATCCACAGTGTGAAACATATTTTACATCACAGTCCACTACATTCATGCATTGATAGATCAGAGGAAAAAAATTCATCAAAAATTACACATCTTAATCACATGCATAGTTTTTTCGGAGGGGGGGGAGTTGCTGTTCACTTACCTCAAACCCAATTATTGGGTCCCAATCTACAGTTTGAAAGCACTATATAAATTGATTCTGACCTTGGCAAAGTCACTTTCCGTCTCTGAGCTTTAGTTTTCCAACTGGAAAACCATTGTGATGCCAGCCTCACTGCTGCTCTGAGCCAGTGCCAGGAGCACGGATTTAGCCCTTGCTATTTGGAGGGTGCTCATCTAGGTGCTGTGGGAGGGACAGAGATGAGAAGAGCAGTTTGTGCCCCCCCCCCAAGGAAGCCATTTGGGGACACTGGGGAGGGGTGGGAGGGACGGGGGTTGCAAAGATTGCTGTTCTCCGAAGACCTCTGTGATGGAGAGAAAGTCAGTGGAGTGAGAAGTAACTGGTGTTGGTTTTTCCCATTTTGTGCCCCAGCAGCCTTCCTGAGGAGACGGGAGAGGACCCCAGGTACAGCCTTGGAACTGGGTTAGAAGTGGGTCCCAACAAAGGGAAGAAGCTGGCGGGCTGGGAGGGCTGGGAGGGTGTGGGGTACTGAGTCCCGATTCCAGGGTGTGCAGCCTACATCGTGTCAGAGGCACAGGGCCTTATCATAAAGCACGCTTTCTCAACAACGGCAAAACCTGGTTCTTAGAGAAAAAACTTAGACATTCTCGTCTGTGGCCCTTCAAAGGGCCGTATCACATATAAACAAATATACAGTGTATCTGTGGCTTAAAAATTTCATAGTGAATGGGGGCGCCTGGCTGGGTCAGTCAGTGAAGCCTGCGACTCTTGATCTCAGGGTCGTGAGTTCAAGCCCCATGGTGGGCGTGGAGCCTACTTAAAATGATAAACAAATATATACATACATACACACAAGCATACATACATGCATACACATTTCATGGTGGATAGTCAGAAAGTAGCTTCCCGCTTGCCACAGGCTGGTGGGAGGGAGAAAGGGAGTAAGTGCTAATGGGTATAGAGTTTATTTGGGGGAGGTAATAAAAATGTGGAATTAGTGGTCATGTTTGCACAACCTTTTGACTATACTAAAAACCATTGAATTGGAAAACAAATGTGGCAGGGAAAAGACCATTAGGAAAAAAAAAAGTGTTTAAAGAGGCCCTAGGGAATGATCCTGAAAAAAAAAAATGTTGAGAAACAGGCCTCTGAAAGAGGAGATGGATATCGCCCAGGCCAGACCGAAAATTCAGCCTGATTTCTTTATGTTTAGTGTACAGGCCTGAAAAGTCCAAGTGAAACCAATTCACAAGGCTCTGAGACCCTCAAAACCCTCCCTACCCTCACATCCCCCAAGAACATTCGAAACACACAGGAGGTGGTGTGAAGTCGGGACTGGGAGCGATGACTCAACTTTGTAAATACACTTAAGCTCCTGGCCTTCGCTCTGACACCAGAGTGTTTCACTTCCTCGTGTTTTCTCTGCCCTTTCTCCCACCTTGTCCCCAAGTGCCGGGATGTGATGACAGGCCCAGCCTCCCTGGCCTTAGTAACCACGGTTCTTGAGCCAAAAGGCCAACCTCATGGTATGTGACAAGTATGACCGTGCGGATGAGTACAGCGGGACGGAATAGCTGACACCTGAGCCGGTGCAGGCCGTCCAGGGCTCGTGGGCACTGCAGCTGACCACGTCTCTCCCAGCAGATCCCCCGATTCCACTGCTGTCTTCTGACGGGGCCACACGAGGCTTCAAATCGGGCTTGAGCCCTCTCGGCCCTCTGGCTGCCTCCCCGAGAGCTCCATGGGCCTTAGGTTCCCACACATGAGCTGCCGACCTGGCCTGACCCCTTCCAGACAGCCCTCCCCGTCCCAGCTGCTTTGACAGCCACATCTGTCTGAGACCAGTCTGCACCCTTGAGCCCCGATGCAGAGGCTGAGTCTGGAGGAGCCACTTGGTGGCCTTCATACTCCTCTGACACAGGATCCCCCCACACACGCACACAAGCTTACACCGTCGGTGCCTGTCCCCCCTTCTCCTTCTCAGCTGGGGCCCTGGGCCCTCCTCATGCACCCTGCACATACCGGGGATGCTACCCAGGGTCAGGCAGTGGAGGCTCCCCCAGGACGGCTAAGCCCCTCTCCACCCACCTCCGTGCAATATGTGTGGCTGCACCCTTGGTCCCAGGGATGATAAGGCACACTCATGCCAGGTTTGAGGGGGCCCGAATGTCTGTGAAGAAGCTGGTCCGTGCGTGGGAGCCCTGAAGCTGTGTCCTTTCTTCCCTGCTGCAGCCCAGAGCGGGAGACAGTGGCCGATTCGGATGTCAGGTACTGTGACCTGGGAGCACCTGAGCTCTGGGCAGACTTCCCCGGAGGGGCTCTCAGGCCCAAGGGAGCCACAGAACTCGGAAGGCAGCCCCCTACCCCAGACCCCACCCCAGCTGCAGGGAGGAGGCCCGGGAAGGCTCTGTGCTCCGTCAGCTGGTTCAGAAGCCACTGCTGCTTCTGTGCATCAAGCTGCTCCCTTCACACCAGACCATTTTTATCCCCCACTCCTGGTGTTTGGTCTTCAAAAACCATATCACATTAAATGTGGTTTCCGTGGCTCTGCTTTTTTAAAGAGTTCCACTTGGAACTGGAGAGTTGCCTACTAACATCAAAATCAAGTGGTTTGAGGGCCACTCAGAGAAGAAGGAAATTAGGGGTTGAGTGTTTACTTGGTCTGATCACACTTTGGGCTCCTCCCAGCTCTGGGTGAAGATTCAGGGATAACAGACAACAGGACTGGGACAGGTTGGGTGTGGGGCAGGGCAACGTTGAGGTCCTGTCCTACCCAGGCTGCTAAGACTGGGGCACCTGAGCCGTCCCAAGCCCTGGGGAGGGAGAGGTCATTGCGCCCACCCAGAGCTGACTCCTGCCAAGTGCACCTTCCTAGTCTAAACCATCTGCTTGACAACTGCCTCTGAGAATGAGCCCCTGAGAATGCCTCCCCTACTCCCGCCTGCTTTATTCCAGGAAGAGAGGCCCTGTTGCCTATGCTTCTCAGAAACCATGGCTGCTAAATGCCACTGTGGAGGAGAATATCACCTTTGAGAGTCCCTTCAACAAACAACGGTAAAAGCTTCTCGGAGGGAGACGGCTGGGGGAGGGGGGAGGTTGGTCAAGGGCAGCATTAGCCGGCCCTCCCCAGTGCCCAAGCCCCTGCCGGCTGCCCGGCCCCTCCATCGACCACATACACCCAGCCATTCTGCTCTCCAGGATGCTTATCTGGATTCCAGCCTGTTCCATATGGTGCATCTGGAAATGATCCAGATGTGCTTGGGCATCAGGGCAGTCCAACTCCTGTGGGTATGGTGCGGGTGGGCGGTGGGGGCGGTGTTGTGTGGAAGCTTCGATGCCTTCCCTTGAGGCTAAGGAGAAGGCTGACCCAGCTTCCCACTATTCCCTACCCCGAGCTCAGCAGCTCATGCACTATTTTCCCTTCAATGATAATATAATAATAATTGCTACCATCGATGGAGCTTTTAGGTGCCAGGTGCAGTGTCCTGCTCTTTATATGCATGATTTCCTCTGATGCTCACAATAACCCCAGGAGGCAGCTACTATTAGTACCCCCATTTTACAAATGTGGAAACCAAGGCTCAGAAAGGTTAGGTAACTTGCCCAAGGCCACCCAGCCAATAAGTGATAGAAATGGGTCTCAAATCCAAGGCTGCCTGACACCCAATTACATGCCACCAAGACACTCTGATGCCTCCATGCACCCTGGCTGGCACCTGCCCAAGCTAAGAGCTGGCTGGGGAAGTATGAGAGGAGCAGGCTGGGCAAATATTTGATTAGCCATCATCATTACTGCCTAAACCAACCAGCAGTGATTTTCCCTGGCAGTGCCCCAAGTGTGGGCTCCAGCTATAGCTCTCCCACTGCACAGGAGCCATGGGCCCCTTCTTGTCACTTACGTGGCATATTTGCTACCATCCAATTTCATCTTTCAAATATTTAACTGGCCCCAAGACTCTGTGAGGTGCTGCCCTCAGCTCTTTCAAGCTCACATGGTGTTTGCTTGCACCCAGGCAGAAGGCCATTAAAGCCATTGCTCACCCCAAGCACAGCTGCCCAGAAGTTAATGACCTTCTGCGAGTGGTCAGACCCAACTCTGGCCAGGCTGACCAGTCGTGTCCGCCCCCTCCACTCCCAATCACTCCAGGTACAAAATGGTCATCGAGGCCTGCTCCCTGCAGCCGGACATCGACATCCTGCCCCACGGAGACCAGACTCAGATCGGGGAACGGGTTAGTGGCAGCCTCTGTGGGGGGACCTCGAGCTCCCCTGATCCCCACCTGTCACCACCAGGGAGAGCAGGTAACTGGAAAATATGAGAGGGTAAAGGTGGAAGAGCTGCCTGCATTGACATCAAAATGGTCCTGAGCCTCGGGCTGCTGGCCATCCTTGGCAGCTTTGCAACTAGTGCCTTCCTGGGCTGGAGATGGGTTGGCATCTCCTTCATTCGTGCGGCACGCATATACTAAAGGCTCACCTGACACTGTGGTAGGCCTGGGGCCACAGCCTTCATGTATACTCGCCACGTGGGGCCCTTCCTCCGTAAGCTTAGGCAAATAGAACTCTCCCAAGACTGTCCTCCTTAGGTGTGATTTAAATCCCTACTCCTCTGTCTTTTTTTTTTTTAATATTTTATTTATTTATTCATGAGAGACACAGAGAGAGAGGCAGAGACACAGGCAGAGGGAGAAACAGGCTCCCTGTGGGGAGCCCGGTGTGGGACTTGATCCTGGGACCCCGGGTCATGCCCTGAGCCAAAGGCAGATGCTCAACCGCTGAGCCACCCAGGTGCCCCCCTACTTCCTCTGTCTTAGTTGTCATCTGTCAGATGGTCCCCAGCACCAACCTGATGAATCTTCAGACATAAGTGGGGATCACGCTCTCCAACTGCTAATGAATTTAGTAAACAAGTTCTTCCTCTCTTCAAGGTGAGGAGGGGCAAAGAGGTGGATAGAGCCAGGCCTCCATCTCAAAGAGCTCACACCCAAGTAAGGGTCAGGACAGTCTTTTCTGAGGGGCGATGAGAGCATGACCTTTCCTCTCTTTGGTCATAGGGCATCAACCTATCTGGTGGCCAACGCCAGCGAATCAGTGTGGCCCGAGCCCTGTACCAGCACACCAATGTTGTCTTCTTGGTGAGTATATTAGCTAGTATCTCCCTTGGGGCCCTCCCTCCCTCACTGCCTATACACACACACACACACACACACACACACACACGCGTGTGCACACACACATGCACACCACCCAACAATCTCCCTCTCCAGGAATAAACCTCTCCTGCCAGAGATATTACCTAATCATTGGTGGGGAAGCTGAGGCAAGGATAGTGCACATGACCCACTGTGGACATCACACTGAACTCTGGGTAGCCATAAGGGGAAATGAGTAGTAGTTACAGGCCACCTTCCTGTAGGACAGCCCCAAACTATCAACACTAATTTAGTCCCACTATAATCACGGCGGATACGTAGAATGTAGGTGGCCACTTTCCATCCCACACCCAGAGCAGACATCGCTCAATGATCACAGCAGTGGCAATAGAAAATTCAGCATTATCCATGAATGCAACTCGGTGAAACCCCACATCAAGTTTCCGTGGGCAACTTAACCTGGCCTCAGAATCCTTCTCAACACAGTGCTCCAGATAACCACTAGCAATCAAACATGAGATCAGCTTATTAGCTAACCCTTTCCTATTTCATGCCACATTTTGTGTTAGGTGCTGTGGTTGTCACTGAAGAATTCGGAGAGCCAGCCCTCGGCCTCAAAGATTCAGAGATTTCTAACTAGGGAGATAGAGCTCACCCACACTCAAGAGCCACAGCCCAGCTGAGTCAGGCTGCGTGGTGCAGTCTATAAGGAGCCTTATCCAAGGAGACAGCTGTGAGGGCTAGAATAGTCAGGGAGAGCTTCCTGGAGGAGGACATTAAAGAGGAGTCAATTCAACAGAAGGAAAGAGGGAGGCTGTTTGGGTAGGGAGTCAGAAGAAGGAACCTCAGGTCTCTGATCCTGGCTTTCTTCTCCCTCTGCCACCCCCAATACACATAAATGCTCCCCACTAAACACATTTCAAAATGCAAAGGTCTTTGGTACCACCTGGCATAGCACTTTACAAAGTCCTGGCTTCTTTGTGGTCTTAGATGAGCTTTAAACAACTTTGTTAGCAGAAATAAAGTGGGTATTTTGGTTTATTTCAGCAAATTTGTATTAAGCTCCTACTCTGTACCTGGCATGGACATAATGGGTGTCGGTTCCTGGGGGCCTCACAGAGTGGACATATAACTATCACAACTGGAATTGAGAGGAGGGAAGGCTAGGCATGGAGGTCAAGAAAGGACACAGGAAGAGCTAGGGTAGAGCGCTGAAGAATGAGTAGGGTTAACCAGGCAGGCAAAAGGAAAAATGGGACTTTGGGCAGAGGAAAGAGCATACATAAAAACCTGGAATGGCAAGTTCCCTGAAAACCTGGAGTACAGGGAACTTGGACAGAACAGATAAGGGAGACCAGAAAGCTAGACTGAGCAGGTCATAGAGGGACTAGATTACCATGCTAAGGAATTTGGACTTCATGGGCAATGGGGAGCTATTGAAGGTTCAGGAGTCAAGAAGTACCTGTGATTACATCTGCTTGAGAGCAAGAACTGAAAACAGCCTCATTTTAAGATGAGCTGCCTAAAGCCCAGAGAGGTTAAGTGCATTGTCCAAGGCCACACAGCTAACTAGTGTCAGTCCCTGGACCAGAGCGGGGATAACTCTGATGGGTTTTTTTTTCTCACTCTTAACCCCCTCCCCACACTTGCCCCTACCTTCTCTCCTCTGCCCAGGATGACCCCTTCTCAGCTCTGGATGTCCATCTGAGTGACCACCTGATGCAGGCTGGGATCCTTGAGCTGCTCCAGGACGACAAGAGGACAGTGGTCCTCGTGACCCACAAGCTCCAGTACCTGCCACATGCAGACTGGGTGAGGGGGCCACAAGGAGGTCAAGCTATGGAGGGCTGAAGTGGGAGAGGCAGGACAGCTTCAAAGGAGTCAGTGTCTCAGTTGCACTCGCTGAGGGCCACAAAGCCAAAGAAATCCACACTGAATGGTTTCATGCAGGCTGAGTGGCTCAAGCAGATCCTGCACAGGCCAAGGGTTCAGTATCCCCTAGAGCTGGTGACATTCCCATCCTCACCTGGGGCCCCTGTGGGTACATGCAAGGCTGACACCAAGAAGTCTCAGAACGAAGCAGACACTCAATCCCTACCTTCTGCTTTTGGCCCAGTTTGATGGCTCATCCCCCTGGCCTTGGGACTGCCTGTTTGGATGGAAGAGCCATCTTCCCACCCTCTGACCCACCAAGGAAGCATTTAAGTCAGGATCAGATGGAAAAATCTGGAAACAAACAATGCAAGTAGCAGTAGAAACTTCAATATTATCAATAGAGTGCAATTTTGCGAGACTCCACATTAACTGAATTTCTATACTCCTCAATATGTCGACAACAGTTACTTTTTGATTAATTGGAAAACATTTAAGCTTTAAGTTGGAAATCATGTGACTTTCAAAATCTGGGCCTTGCCTGACTCCTATATAAATTTGCCTCTGAAAATTGAGGGTCTCCTGGAGCTGCACGCCTGTGCTAAATGGGCCTAAGTCTTCCTTCTACCTATGGTAAAATCCTCCCTCTATTATGAAAAAGGGGTGGGGGGAATCCATATTTTAAAAAAAATCTTATAATAGGTGCAGAAGATCTATGAGTTTCCATGGTGACCTGGGCAGGATAGTTCCGGACAATCTTTAGTCCAAAGAAGGCAGACAAAGACATGACTGACTTGAAATGTCCGTGATCAAGGCTCCCAGGCATCCTTCCCTACACCCCAGTGTGGGCTGGGTGGGGGGAAAGGAGCGGGGACAGGGCTCTGAATTAATGACGAGTGTCTAGGAGTGCGAAACACTGAGTGTTTCAAATAAAATCAGTTTTTTTAATTTCAAAGAGGCAAGGCCCCACACACTTAGACCAATAGGTACTTTGTCAACCACTGGTGAGAACTACCAGAGCTGCGGTCAGGAGGAGCTGAAGGTAGTGTGCATTTAGCTGTTAAGTGTGTGAAAACAGCTGCCCCTGACGGAATCCTATCAAGGAATCCGACAGCCTGACCAGGGTATACTCATTTGCTCTGCAAACCCCCTTAGCATCCATGGGGCAACCACTGAGAATTACCCCCCAGAAGTACCGAGCTCTAAATCCTGACAGTGCATCGGTGAGGGAGGGTCAGCTGTCAGTCCTGGCTCGCGGCAGTGGGAGAGCCAGGGGCCAGGTGTGTGGGGGGAGAGGATGGGTGCAGGTCCATCTCAGACTCCTTGGGGAGGGGTGGTGTGGCTGCCACCACCCTTTCCCATCAGCAGGGTCTGTCTCTCCCCTCCCAGATCATAGCGATGAAGGATGGCACCATCCAGAGGGAGGGCACGCTCAAGGACTTCCAGAGGTCTGAGTGCCAGCTCTTTGAGCACTGGAAGACCCTCATGAATCGGCAGGACCAAGAGCTGGAGAAGGTGAGTATGTCCTAAGGGCCAGGCAGCCAGCCTCTGAGAGGACAGTTCTGTTAGAACGTGAACACACAGAGAGGCCTTCCTAGCCCTCATTGCCCTAGGAAAACCCCCGAAGGACAGATGTGGGGGCTGAGCATGAACCTCCTCCTGTTGGAGGAGAGCCAGGACCTGTGCCAGCTACTCAGGGCAGAATCAGTGGACACCTTCCCCTTATCCTGAAATAGTCCGAAACCATTTAGTTATAAAGCTTCATGGAAGGAAAAGGCATCAGCTTCAGGTAGAGCTGGATCCAGGTAGTTAAACACTCACGGGGAACCTGTACCGCACCCTCCCGTGGCTCCGCTCCCCTCAGCCTGGCCTCATTCTCCTGGTGGCAGAAAGAGCTGTCAGCAGCCTGGAGCTCACATTGTCCTGGCTCGACACCTCCACCAGCAAGAGACTGCCTGTCTCATGACAGGCAGCGGACCTCCCAGGCTAACTGTCCTTTGTCCACTTTGGTCACATGCCCACCCTGAGTGGCCCTGGGGCCAGGGATGGGGAGCGTGAGATTGGCCGGTGCTGGGTCTCAGCCCTGGAGCCTGGGAGAATGATCAGCCCACCTGAGTCGCAGAGACCCAGCATCGAGGGTCCCTACTCCCACAGGAAGAGTAGGCTATTGTTAGCTGATAAACGGGAAGGAGGAAATTCTGGTAAGGCGGGCAGACCGGGTGGCTTGGCGGTTTAGCACCGCCTTCAGCCCAGGGCCTGATCCTGGAGACCGGGGATCGAGTCCCACGTCGGGCTCCCTGCATGGGCCTGCTTCTCCCTCTCTCTCTCTCTGTCTCTCTCTGTCTCTGTCTCTCTCTCTCTCTGTGTGTGTGTGTGTGTGTGTGTGTGTGTGTGTGTGTGTGTGTCTCATGAATAAAAATAAACAAAATCCTTAAAAAAAAAATTCTGGTAAGACAAACTTGTGGTCCGCTCGGACCCTCCCCCAGAGGTGGCAGCCTGGAAACCCGACACTGGTCACTGCCGCCCCCCACACTCCCTTTCTCCCCCTGCACCCTCTGAGGATGTATCTGTCTTTCAGGAGACTGTCGTGGAGAGAAAAGCCACAGAGCCACCTCAGGGCCTGCCCCGGGCCATGTCCTCAAGAGATGGCCTCCTGCAGGATGAGGAAGAGGAGGAAGGTACAGGCAGTGGGGTGGGCAGTGAAATCGTGGCCTGAGCTCTGCTTGACCATGGGGGGCAGGCGGCCAAGGCTTGGGGTTCAGGGAAGGTGGTGAGGTAGTGTGACTTCCATTCAAGTCCTTCCCCTCTGTGTGCCTCAGCTTCCCCATCTGTAAGTAGGGATAACGTGCCCCCCGTTCGCCCTCAGAGGGGTGCGCAGTGTGAAGCCACGGGGGGTTCTTGCGCCTGCAGAGGAGGCCGCCGAGAGCGAGGAGGAGGACAACCTGTCCTCGGTGCTGCACCAGCGAGCCAAGATCCCGTGGCGAGCCTGTGCCAAGTATCTGTCGTCCGCCGGCATCCTGCTCCTGTCGCTGCTCGTCTTCTCCCAGCTGCTCAAGCACATGGTCCTGGTGGCCATTGACTACTGGCTGGCCAAGTGGACCGACAGCGCCCTGACCCTGAGCCCCGCGGCCAGGAACTGCTCCCTCAGCCAGGTGTGGCCGGCGGCCCCGGGGCAGGGGTCAGGGAGGGGAGGCCTGGGCCGGGGACACCCCCAGGAGCCCGCCTCCTTCTCTGCCTGGCCCAGGAGTGCTCCCTCGACCAGACTGTCTATGCCATGGTGTTCACGGTGCTGTGCAGCCTGGGCATTGTGTTGTGCCTTGTCACGTCGGTCACCGTGGAGTGGACGGGGCTGAAGGTGGCCAAAAGCTTGCACCGCAGCCTGCTGAACCGGATCATCCTGGCTCCCATGAGGTACCCCTCTCCCCCAGGCAGCCTGGGCTGCGGGCAAGTCCCTGTTCTCTGGGCCTCGGCTCTCCCGTCTATAAAGTGGAGCTCTGCAACCTCTGTCACAGGCTGCGGGGCGCGGGGCGTGTGGCCCCGAGACACGGTGTGTGCCAAGTGCTCTCCTCGGAGCAGAAAGCAGAGGAGAACCAGCATTTACTCAGCCACACACAGTGCTAGGAGTCTCCGTGATCAGTTCATCTAATTGTCACAACAGCCCTTCAAAGTGAGCATCTGCAGGCTCCGCGTAGATCTCAGTTTCCCTTCCCCGGGCAGGTACCATCTGCCCATCTCCACCCACAGATTCGGCTCTCCCCTTCCCCCCCCAGCCAGCCTGCAGGTTCTGGCACTGGGGACACGGGGACATGTTTTGATCTCCTGGAATGGGATGGACACAAATCCCAAAGGCTCCTTGGTGTGAAAGAGTTAGTTTAAGGTGGTCCCTGCCCAACCGACTGGCTGACTCAGCTTTAAAGCTCGACAGGCAAACAGGTTACTGGCCCCTTGTTGGTGCCAGGCCTCACCATCTGACTACGCCTTTGCTTTTCAGTCTCATGAGCTCTCTGTGGCCCACAGACATGACCTCAAGGGTAACTTACCCTCTATTTGTCCCAGATCTGTGCTTCTGAAACCCTCTGGTTAGGGTTGGGCCTGTCCTGGATCACAGCCAGAGTAGCCTCACTGGTCAACCAGCTGACAGGCTGTCCCCAGAGCCCCGTTCCCCCTGGCAGATCGTCCCTCTGGAGAAGACTCTATGTCCTCAGGACAGCTGCTGACTGAGTCAGGCTGAGCAAGCAGCTGAGGAAGGTGGCCATGGTCACATGTGGGCTGGAGAGCCAGAGAGGTTAGTGAGGGGCCAGCACCCCTTTGGGCAGCTGCAGGAATTCTCAGGGACACAGACCAGATATCTACAGACTTGCCAAGGCAACCACCCGTAGGAAGCTAGACCCGGAGATGACTCCAGAGACACTAAAATCAAAGAAATAAGTACCCTCATTCAATAAACAGGAAGATAATCAAGATAAACAGATGAACAGATAAACAGATGAGTAACTGTTCTTCTTCTGGTTGCATCTTAGGTTTTTTGAGACCACGCCCCTTGGAAGCATCCTGAATAGATTTTCAGCTGACTGTAACACCATCGACCAGGTACACAGCACTGTGACCCATTTCCCCAGTTCAGAGAGAGGCCAGGCCCCCGAGCTTTTCCTCTCTGGTGCTGCCCTCCCCCACACCTAGTGATCAGAGCCCTGTGGGAGGAACCTAGTGGGCCCCAATCTGATTATAATGCTGCCTCTGGGCCTGGGGCTTCCCCTGTGAAACCAGCAAGATAAGGCTGAGTGAGGGCAACCACATCCCTTTGGCTTTCATCCAGTACCCCCTGGCTCACTCCAGTAGGGTTCCAGCATATTCTGAACCAGGTGACTGATTTTGTGAAGAACATGCATTTCGATTCAGCTGTGTTCTTCATTTACCACCGTACCAGATGGCGAGGAAACAAAGTCCTGACTCCTGCTCTCAGGGAGCCTACGGGGTAGCTGGAGAGATAAGACGTGTGCCTGTATTAATGTGAGAGAGCAAAACATGGCAGGGGTAACACCCTGAGGATAAACACCAAAACTCACCTCCCTCTCTCCCCCTCCCTCCGTCAGCACATCCCATCCACGCTGGAATGCCTGAGCCGCTCCACCCTGCTCTGTGTCTCAGCCCTGGCTGTCATCTCCTATGTCACGCCTGTGTTCCTCGTGGCCCTCTTGCCCCTGGCCGTGGTGTGCTACTTCATCCAGAAGTACTTCCGGGTGGCATCCAGGTGACGGCGGCCTTTGCCAGCCTCAGGGGGATGAGGGATGGGAGGTGCTTTGCCATGGGTAGTTCGGTACGCATTGACAGGGTAATTATCAAAAAGTAGTAGAGTCACAATCCCCCTGAAACGGAAAGTAGAAATGAAGGAAAAAGAGATACTCATTTTCCACCACCCTGATGTAGCCATCTGCTGGCACACACGCGTGCACACACACACACACACACACACACACACACTGCCGTTAACATCTGAATTATTTCCTTAGGCGAGATGATCAGGAGTGGAACTGCCAGGTTGGGTGTATGATCACATTCATGCCCTTCATTCATTTTGCTAAAATGCCTCTCAGGGGGGTTTGGAGTCCAGTGACTGCTCTGATTGCGGATGCACGAAGTCCAGGGCACCTGAAGGGAGGGCTGCTATGGCAACCGTACCTCCCAGCCCAGGGGGCCCGAGCAGGCCCCGAGGCCTTGACCTGAGGGAGCCTCCCACATTCATCACATTCGCCCTCCAGAGCCTCGGGAGCCACACGGGCTTCTTTCCTACTCAGAATGTCCTAAGAACGTTCTCTAGAAGTTCTTTCTGGGAGTGACTCTGAAAACTCATAGATTCAAATAATTCTAGGGAAAATCTGAAAGACTCTCTAGACCCCGTGTTTATCAAATTGCCAATTGCAACCTATCAGCGGGGTCACGAAATCAGTATTACAGGCCGCAGCCAGCCTGTTTTTTAAAAATGAAAGTGAACAGAAAATATCAGATGGTATGCACGTAGAAACAGGGAGTTTTGCTTCATGAAACCTTTGTTTGGGTCGTGGAGAAGGGTGGGTGGGTGGGTGCGCGCATGGACTTGTAACATAAAAATGTATTTCTCACTGTGGGTTATAATCAAAAGGTTAAGTACCTTTCCCAAGTGCACATGGTTGATTAGTAACTAGAGTCAGAATGCTGATTATCAATAAAAACAATTACATTTAGATGCATTTTGACCATGACTACCTTGCCCGAGTACTGGGTGGAGTAGGATCTCCTGGCACCCGCGAGGAGCATGTTGATGTTCACAATCACTGTGGCTTTTTAAACACTGTACAAGCTGTTTTACAAAGTTCATTTCTCCTGCCAGAGAAACCACCCTGTTCCCCTGGCATCCTCTCTGCCCTGGGGACAGTCTGTTCAGGAAAGCTGCTTCCGGCCTCGCGCCCCCCCACACACTGATGTGCTTGTCACTGTGCAGCTTGGGGGAGCAGGAGCCCTTCTGTTGCCGTGAAAACCTCTGGCCTTTGCCCCTCGAGGAGCTCTTTAGATACTGGCTGTGATGTGCCTAAATCAACTGTGGCTCCTGGGGAGGCGACTGAAAGCCCTTGGAGGCTGGCACGACCCGAAGGTCTCCTCCGGGCAACCCTTCTTGTCTCAGGTCCTCTCTCCAGCTGTGTGCAGGGGCAGGCTGCTGACCCGTGGAAGGGAACCCCCAGTGCCTGCCCAGCCGTGCTGCAGAGTGAGGGACAGACACCTGGGGGAGGAGGACAGGGCCCCGGATGACAGTGACAGCACCGGCACCCTGAGGGACAGACACACGGGGTGGGGGCGTGGTACCGTGGTCTGCCCACAGGGAGACGCCAAGACTCAGACAGGGGAAGCCATTTGCCCACACAGCGTTTGGGGGGGAAGCTGGGGTTCAGACCCAGGTGGAGCCCCAAGCCTGCCTTCTTACCCTTCTGCTCTGCTCCCTTGCACAGGGACCTGCAGCAGCTGGATGATACCACCCAGCTCCCTCTGCTCTCCCATTTTGCTGAAACCGTAGAAGGTCTCACCACCATCCGGGCCTTCAGGTACCAGATCTACCCCGAGGTGAGGGTGGGTGGGAGTGGGGCCAGGGCCACAGGTCCTGTGACTCAGTTGCAGGGCTTGGCTTAGGGAGGCCCAGGACACAGGTCTCTCAACCCCTCCTCAGGCCCCAAAGCCTAGATGGTGTCCATCAGAGGGATCGGGTCCTGTGGGTTCCACTGTATGGAACCAGATCCAGAGAGGAAAATCGCAGCCCCGCAGCCAAGTCCAGAGCCTTTGTGAAGTAAGGCAGGGCATGCAAAGAAGCAGGGCTGGGACATATCCTCACATATCAATGCTAGAAAGGCTTTTACATCATGTGGGCCAGCCCTGAGCCCATCTTTTATTGGGAATCTCCAGGGACTCAAACACTGTGCTAAGTGCTTTCCATGCCAATCTCATTCATTCTGCACTTCAGTCCAAGGCACTCAGCAAGATTATTCCCATTTTCCAAATAAGGAAATTGAGGCTCAGAGAGACTGTGTAACCTATCTGGCTAAGGTCCTATAAAGCCCAGACTTGAACCTGCCCATTCATTTGATAAGCATTCATGCCAGGCACTAAAAAAACAGAGAGGAGTCAGATGAGCCCCTGCCTTGGAAGGATTTACAACCCAGGCTTTGAGCAGCCCTGGAGAACCCCATGTGACAGGCCTTCAGAATACAGACTGCGGGACCATAGAAGGGAGGCATTCACGGAAGGCTTCACGGAGGAGATGCTATGAAAGCTAGCATCAAAGGGTAAATAAAAGTTCACCAAGTTGGAGGAATGCCCCCACCCCCAACTCCAGTGGCCCTGCAGTCCACCCTAAATCATGATGTTGGACTGGACGGGAGCTTCTGAGGCTGCCTGGGGGGGGGGGTGCTATTGCTCCCTGCCCCAGCCTCTGTTTCATGTCTGATCCCTCCTCCGGCCAAACAGGCCAGAGACCCCTGACTCAGAGAGTTGGGCCTCTGGTCTCTAAGCCTTACCCAGAGAGTGATTCCAGGTTATTTTTAGGATGGCACAGCTATGCGGGATGTGACAGTAACCATGCGACACCCAGTCCTGTGTCCAGGAGTAACCCTAGGGCTCAAGGAACAGCCAAGAGGATCCAGGGAGGCTTGCGAGTCCTTCCTCCAAGCCCCAAAGCTCTAGGAGAGGTGCCCAGGCCCCTGGAGCAACACTGTGGCCCCATTCACTCCCTGGGGACATCTGTGCCAGTGAAAATGCTCTTAGGGGCCTTGTCTAAGTAAAGCAAAGCAGAGGCCTGCCCTGGCCGTGGCTCTGCTCCCTGGACAGCCCCTGCCCCTGTACAAGCCTGTGCTGTCTTCTTCCCAGAAGCCCCTGGGAACCTGGCAGGACCCGAAGGTCTCCTCCGGGCACCCTTCCTGTCTCAAGCCTGCACTGCCCCAGTTCCTTTGACTTCCAGGGCCCTTGATGCTCCTGGGCCTGGCCTCTACTCAGTCTGAGCACTGCTCCTCTCACACATGGTGTCCCGGAGGCCTTCAGGCTGGGCCTGGGACAGAGAGATTGTGACTTTCCTCAAGAGGGCTGGACCCTCTCAGTAGGACCTGAGTGGATGCAGCACCCGCAACAGCCTGTGGTCAGTCGGAGGAACTGCCACCCAGTGAGGCCTCCCACACCCTGCACTGACACCGTGGGTGACTTTTACATGTGGATGAAGGACTTTTTAGTCATCCCTGGGTGTGTTTAATTCATTGGTTCTTGCCCAGCAGCCTGCCCTGTTGAGAGCTAACTAGCATTTATCGATTATGCACTTAACACATGCCTGGCAGTGTGCTAAGTGCTGTATGTGTGTTATTGCACTTAATGCTCACAAGAGCCCCATGACATAGATACATTCAGCAGCCACGTTCAACAGATAAGGCTGAGTCACCAGCCTGAGGTCACACACGGTCAGAGCCAGTGCTAGGCTTGGAACCCCGGCCTGTGGGACCGTCTGGTTTCTCTAGGAGGCCCTGCTTTTTTTTTTTTAAGATTTTATTTATTTATTTATTTATTTATTTATTTATTTATTAGAGACACAGAGAAAGAGGGTGAGACATAAGCAGAGGGAGAAGCAGACTCCCTGTGGGGAGCCCAATGTGGGACTTGATCCCAGGACCCCAGGATCATGCCCTAAGCTGAAGGCAGATGCTCAACCGCTGAGCCACCCAGGCGTCCCGGAGGTCCTGCTTTTTCCCAGATGTTTCAAGAGTACCCAGCCCTTGACTCAGTGTTTCAGCCCAGGTGGAAACTTACTATCTCCATTTTACTAATGAGGAAACTGAGTCTTGGTCCTGACACACAGCCAGTATGTAAGAATGCTCAGAAGCCATATCTCCCACACACCCTCATGCACACCCACCCCTCAGGCTCCCCCGTCACATACACGTGCACAAGCATGTAGATGCCTCCAGCATGCACCCACTCACACCCTTCAGACTTTGGGCTGCACACTCACCCACAGACACCTCACCCACAGACACACCATCACTGTGACTGTGCAATCGTACACTCTCTCACACCTTAGAGGCTCCCTTTGCTCTCCTCTTCTCAGACACAGAGGTCAGGCGCAGTGCCTCCACCCAGAAACAATCAAAGCAGAACAAACACCTTCCAAGAATGAAAAGCAAATGCCCAGTAAGACTCATCTTGAGCCCTGAGAGTCCCCAGTTGTTTCCCCTGAGACCAATGCTACGACAGCTCCCATTCTTTCCTTTGCTCATCATGAAACAAGTGCTCCGCCCCCTCCTCTGGGCTGGGCCAAGCCAGCCAGGTGTTGGGGGTGGGGGGCGGCCAGGGAGAGATGCCAGGAGCCCAGGCTGCTCAGAGAGAAGAAGCAGGTTCATTCAAAGTAACACAAGGAGAACATGGTGAGGGCACAAGGGAAGGAAAGAAGCCTCCATAATTCCTTCCTCATACAGAGAGATCCCATCTACATTAGAGGGTCATGGAAGGTTCCATTTGTTCAGCAAGTATTTATTGACAGTGCCAGGTGCTACGGATGCCCTGCCGAACAGAACAGCCACGGGTTCCATTCTCACAGGCTTTATGGTCTCATGAGGGAGATAAGCAGCTAGAGAAAAGAACATATATGAACAGAGGTTACAAAGCAAACAGGCTGCAGACATGGAGAACCATAGGCCGGGAGAGGCCACCCTGAGGAGGTACCATTTAAGGTAAAGCCTGAAGGCTGAGAGGAATCAGCCTTGTGAGGAGCAGAGGAGAAAGCTTCCTGGGCAGAGGGGACAGCATGTACAAAGGCCCTGGGGTGGGAAAGACCTTGGTATTGTCATCAAACTGAAAAGGGGCAAGTAATAAATTACTTTATTGTAACTTCTGTGACTACAAGGCAGTGAGCAAGGCAATTTGTGGCATAGAAGGAGGCTAGGTTGGCAGGAGCCAGCTCACATGGGCTCAAGCCATTGATATTCGAAGCAGGGGAGAGATGGAAGGCAATTTATGATTTCCAAAGACTAGGCTGGCTGCCTGTGTGCAGAGCAGGCTGTGGGGAGACAGCAGGGGACCTCTGGGGAGGCTGATGCAGTAGGCCAGGTGAGTCTGTGGGCAGCAAGCAGGAGAGGCAGGCAGACACAGGGCTATTTTGGATGTAGACGTAAGAGGTCTTGTACAGGGATTAGACGTGAATCTAGATGATTCCTCAGTTTCTGGTCTGAGCACCCAGGTGGGCAGAGGTGCCCTTTACTGTAATAGGGAGGCCCTGGAGAGAACGGGTCTTGGGGTGAAAGCAGGAGTTTGAAGGAGGTGGGAGTCTTGACAAGTTCGAATTAAGTAGCAAGGAGCCGAGGGCAGTCCAGGGAGGAATGGCACACATAAAGTCACACATGGCACATGCACTGGCTGCTTCTCTGTAAGTAGGGAGAGTCCGGGCACCGTGCGGACCTTCAGACCCTCCCCATCCTCCCTCCAGGTATGAGGCTAGGTTCCAGCAGAAGCTCCTCGAATACACGGACTCCAACAACATCGCCTCCCTCTTCCTCACGGCTGCCAACAGATGGCTAGAAGTCCGCATGGCAAGTGCCACCCGCCCCCAACTCCGGGGCCCCGGGACACGACCAGAGGGCAGGAAGAGAGCACAGAACACCACTTGCCTGTGTGCACAGGGCGGGCGCCAAGCCCTCCTGTTTCCCCAGCCCCCCGCGGCCCTCCTTGGGTCTGGCTGTGCCCCCTCTTCCCTGTCACCGCTCGGGGCCTAGGGTACCTGAGGTGGGCGCTGAGAGCCAGAAGAGCTGTGTGGTTGACTGTGACTAGTGTGTGTCTGGAGTGGGCCCTGTGACCCGTGTGGGCCAGCTGGTGAGACGCACGTTCAGGCCTGCGCAGATGGCTGGGGAGCGGGGGGAGCAGCATAAGCTGCGTGCACACGCTGTCTCCTGGGGCTCCAGCCATCAAGGCCTCCTGCGCGTCTGACAACGTGTAGGAGTGTGGCTGGGCTGAGCTGCTCCCTGCCCTGAAGGGACTGAGGTGGGCTTGGTGGGTGGGGGCTGTGTGGCTTCAACCCTGGGGGCCCACACTGGCTCGCCTCCCTCCCCAGGAGTACATCGGTGCCTGCGTGGTCCTCATCGCCGCCGTGACCTCCATCTCCAACTCCCTGCACAGGGAGCTCTCTGCTGGCCTGGTGGGCCTGGGCCTTACCTATGCCCTAATGGTGAGTGGCTGCAGCCTGGGACAGGGGAGGGCTCAGATACCCTCACTCGGGGAATCGGAGGCACCTCCAGGCCTTCTCCCGAGCGACTGTGAGTCTGATGCAGGAGGGACCATGTGGGTAGCAGAGCTAACCCAGGGCCAGGGCCCCAGACAGATGCTGGGGAAGGATCCACATTCATCGTAACCCCCCTGTGCCTCCAGGGGGACCCCCTACCCCCATGAAGAGGCAGCAGAAGGCACTGAGGGCTCCTGGCCCTTCAGCTGTAAGAAGAGCTATGCTGGTGGCCGGGCTTGGATCAAGTGCTCCCTGACTCGCCACAGGTCTCCAACTACCTCAACTGGATGGTGAGGAACCTGGCGGACATGGAGATCCAGCTGGGGGCCGTGAAGCGCATCCATGGGCTCCTCAAAACCGAGGCGGAGAGTTACGAGGGGCTCCTGGGTGAGAGGCCTGGACGGGGGGCGTGGTAGGAAAAGGGGGCCCTCCTGGATGCCAGCTGACGCCTCTGTCAGCTGGCTGAGCCCCGGTGTGCCCTCAGCACCCTCACTCATCCCGAAGAACTGGCCAGACCAAGGGAAGATCCAGATCCAGAACCTCAGTGTGCGCTATGACAGCTCCCTGAAGCCAGTGCTAAAGCATGTCAATGCCCTCATCTCCCCAGGACAGAAGGTCAGTGTCAGCTCATGCCCACCCAGGGCCTCCAGGCTCCCACCTGGTCAGAACCCCCTCCCCCAGGGCTGGCCCTGGGCCCCTCACACTGACAAGGCTCAGCCTCCCTCTCCTCTACTCCTCCCTGCTCCTTCTGCTGCCCTCACTCACCAAGAGGATGGATACCCCACACTCCCCCGGTTGAGAGGGCTTTTGTCAGGGCCCCCCTGCAGATGGTCAGGGGCTCTCCCAGGGCACTGCCCCCACCCCTTAACTTCAGAGCAAGTCCTAAGGACAGACAGTGAGGCCACACTTGTCCTGGGGAGGGAGCCCCTGCCTGGCACTCTGACCCAACTCTGATTGATTCCCTCCTCACTCCCACTCTGCTCTGACAAGACCCCTCTCCTTCTGTCTCTTTGTCTCTGCCCCTCTTTTTTTTTTTTTTTTTTAATTCATGAGAGACACACAGAGAGGCAGAGACACAGGCAGAGAGAGAAGCAGGCTCCATGCAGGGAGCCCAATGCGGGACTCGATCCCAAGACTCCAGGATCACGCCCTGGGCCGAAGGCAGGCACTAAACCGCTGAGCCACCCAGGGATCCCCACTGCCCTCTGTCTTTGTGGCTGTCTGCCTCACTATCTCTGACCTTTAGATGTACCTTTGTCCCTGCCTCAGGCTCCTCCCATCTGTCCCCACCTCTCTTGTCCTTCTGTGTCACCATCTCTATACTAGTCTTGATTGTCATTTCTGTTGGCACCTGTGGGCCGGGAAGCAATGGGGTCAGAGATGACTCCAGTTTAAGATGGGGCTCACAGATCCATCCCTGCCAACTGCACTGGGCCACTCCCAGGCCCTCCATCACACCCATGCACACAGAGTATGCACCGGTGCCCCCAGCTCCCCTGCAGCCACATACCAGGCACAGCAAGACCTACACCCAGGCCCAGGAAAATGGACATCTGTACCCTGCACTTGCTTGTGGATCCCCGTGGGAGGCTCCTCTGCAGAAAGCAGCCCTGGCCTAAAAGCTGTTCAGAAAGCCAGGACAAGAGACGTGCCGTGACCTCCAATGCCTGCATACCCCAGAGCCAGCCCCAGAAGATCCCAGCCAGCCCCAGGTACTCACAGTGTGCTTCATCCTCTCTCCAGATTGGGATCTGCGGCCGCACAGGCAGTGGGAAGTCTTCCTTCTCTCTCGCCTTCTTCCGCATGGTGGACATGTTTGAGGGTGAGTTGTGTGATAACACATGTACCCAGAGCCACCAGATGGGACCTCAGTCCCGGTGTATGGTTAGACGTCATAGGAGGCCCAGCAATCACTGCCTCCCCCTGCATCCTCGATGGGACCCACGTTCCCAGGCTGAACCTGTCCCCAGCACCACCAGCTCCCCCACTCCCTGGTGGCCCACCTGAGACACAGTCTCCACACAGGGCGCATCATCATTGACGGCATCGACATTGCCAAACTGCCACTGCACACCCTGCGCTCCCGCCTCTCTATCATCCTGCAGGACCCCGTCCTCTTCAGCGGCACCATCCGGTGAGCCCCACCACTCTGGGAGGCACCCCCCTGGGTCCCAGGCCCAGCCCCTTGGAGCTGGGGCATAAGGAGGAGCGGCTGGGTGAGGCCAAGAGTGCCCAGCTGGGTACCCCTCCCTGGGTGGGCAGCCCTGGGGCTGACCTGGTCCCTCACGGTGCTGCCTTCAGGCCTTTCTCTTCCCTGTGAGGCCCAGGCAGGCGCTGGTAGAGGTAGCGCCACCCTCGGGCTGGGCACACATCCTCCACCCATTGCCACCTGCCGCCCCCTTCCAGCCAGCACCCACCCCTCCCCAGGCCACGTTCTTACTCACTGCTCCCCCTGCCAGGCCCTGCTTCTCTCCCTGAGCGGGCTTCCTGTCCCCCTCCAGGTTTAACCTGGACCCGGAGAAGAAGTGCTCGGACAGCACCCTGTGGGAGGCCCTAGAGATCGCCCAGCTGAAGCTGGTGGTGAAGGCACTGCCTGGAGGCCTGGGTACCTACTCCTGCCGCAGCGGGCGCCCCAGGGCGTCTAGGGGGCTGCAAGGGGAGGCTCACGGCCATGCCCTAGCGTTTACAGTCTAGGGCCCGGCAGGACCCCAGGGACCATTAGTTTTCCCTTTCAGGAGCTCAGGAGCTCAAGTCAGCTGTCCCAGGCCATGCGATGGGTCAGTTCAGGGGCTCCCTCCTCCCTGGGCCCCGGGGCAGGGCGTGGGGGGCAGCAGGAATCACCACGAGAGGACGCGCTTGCAAGTCCATCCTGCCCGGCAGCATGTCCAGTCCTGCCGGCGCCGTCCCCCTGCCGCCCAGGTCTGCCCCGAGGGAGGAGAGGGCGGGGGAAATCAAGGCCCGGGTCACTCCCCGAGGGTGCAGGGAAGACTGCCCCCACCCCAGAGGACACCCTTGGTGTATTTGCTCCGGCCCCTGGGGCGGTGGGGGCTGGCCAAGCCAGCCCTCAGAGACTCACCCCACCAGGGCCCACACACACGCAGCACATACACACTAGTGCACACACCCACCCACGCGCCCCCCAGGACCACCCAGGCCACGGTGGCGCACACCTGCGGAGGGCGCACTTCTCTTTGTAGTCAACGCGGATGGCAGCTGTCCAGCTCTGCACCCCCGCCCCCCCCATCCTCGTGACACACGCTTGTGTGTTTGTCCCCATGCACTTCCTAACAGCCCTAAGCCATGCTGTCTACTAAACTCCCAGTGCCAGATTAACTCAGCCCTGCTCCTCCGCCCGGGGCTGTTCTCAGATGCCATCATCACAGAAGGTGGGGAGAATTTCAGCCAAGGCCAGAGGCAACTGTTCTGCCTGGCTCGGGCCTTCGTGAGGAAGACCAGCATCTTCATCATGGATGAAGCCACGGCCTCCATCGACATGGCCACGGTCAGTCCTGAGCACATCTGTGGGGTGGGGTCTTGGAGAGGGTTTTCAGGGGCTCTTAGGGTGAAATTTGCACCAAGTGGTCCTGAAGCTCCAGTTGTCTTTACCATCAAGGGCCATCTGCAGCAGAAAAGGCAAAGGGCTGGGGGGGGACCCTGACTCCAGCTAGTCTCGGGGCACGTTTATAGTACACATACACGCAGGCTGCACACAGACCCACAGAGACCTCACACCCATCACCCACCACACAGCACAGCCAGACACACTCACAGCACACCTACACGCGCAGAGCTGAGCCCCCGGCAGGCTAAGCCCAGCCCCCACATGCTAGAACTTGGCTGGTCCTATGGGGACAAGGATCAGACAGAGGAGGAGGGGTGGGCTGGGAGTGGGGTCCCATGGGAGCTGGACTGCAACCCTGGGCCCCACATCCCCAAAGCCAGACCAGACCACATCCACTAGGCAGATGAGCCAACAGCTGTTGCTCCCATTTGGCAGGAAAACATCCTCCAGAAGGTGGTGATGACGGCCTTCGCAGACCGCACTGTGGTCACCATCGCGGTAAGGGGCCCCTGTTGGGGTGGGGGGAACACCCAGAGAGAGGGCTGGCCTCTTGAAGCTGCCATCAGAGGGCAGCCACCGGGCTCACCTGGGCCTGGCAATCAGGAGAAGACCCTGGAGCAACAACGATGCAGAGCAGAGTCTGGAGGGCTTGCAGGGAACCTGGATGGCAGGCAGCACATGGGGGGGTGGTGGAAGGACTTACCCCCCAACTTCCTTCAGAACTCTTCTTTCTCCGCAATCCAAGGCCTGCCCCTGTCCCAAGTGAGCTAGCCTAGGGTTACTTCTCTATAGGGACTGGCGGTTGGGATGTGAGGCGATCTCTGAGTCTTGAGGCCCAGAGGTGAGGGCAGAGCTGAGACTTGGTAAGGAGAGAGGTGTCACCAGTGGACAGAGGGCTTGGAGTCACAGCCACCCCAGGAAGGGCCACAGGGATGGGACCTCCTATCCACACACCTCTTCCTTCAGACTGCAGGAGGGGCACCCTTAGCTGCCCCTCCCCCACCACCACCCTGACCAGGACCCCCCTCCCCCCCAGCACCGTGTACACACCATCCTGAGTGCAGACCTGGTGATTGTCCTGAAGCGTGGCGCCATCCTTGAGTTCGACAAGCCAGAGAAGCTGCTCAGCCGGAAGGACAGCGTCTTCGCCTCCTTCGTGCGTGCAGACAAGTGACCTGCCAGAGCCCAAGTGCCACCCCTCAGGCCACCCTGCCCCCGTCTCCTGCCTGGGCTCTCTAACTGTAAATCACTTATAAATAAAGAGATTGGTTGTTTCCTACTGGAGGCCTCCTCAGGTCTGGTGGGCAGGGACCGGGGTGGCCTGTGGGTCCCACAGAGCCAGCCTGCCTGGCTTCAGGCACCTTGAAGCTGTGTGAGCATGGGCAGCAGTGTGTTTCCTTCTCTGTGAAATAAGGGTTATAGTATTAGTCTGTTCAGGCGGCCATAACAAAATAGCAGACACTGAGACTTAAACAAAAATGTTTTCTGACAGATCTGGAGGCTGGAAATCCAAGATCAAGGTGTCATGGGTTTGGTTTCTCCTAAGGACCTAATGAGCTCTTCACAGGCCCTATCTCCAAATACTGTCACACTGGGGAGCTTCAACATAGGAACTTAGGGCTTTAACAAATGGATTTGGGGAGGGGATACAATTTAATCCATAACAGAGGTTATAGCATTTTTGTGATTATCTCATTAGACAAAAGATTATTTCACTTTATTTCTTGGATTAAAATTGTGGGGTGCCCTGGATTAGTGCCGTTTCCATGACAAATGACAAGAACCCAACTCAAAGTGGCTTAAACTGGGGCAGCCTGGGTGGCTCGGTGGTTTAGCACCTGCCTTCGGCCCAGGGCATGATCCTGGAGACCCGGGATCGAGATCCACATCGGGGTCCCTGCATGGAGCCTGCTTCTCCCTTTGCCTGTGTCTCTGCCTCTCTGTCTCTCTGTGTTCCTCTCATGAATAAATAAATAAAATCCTTTAAAAAAAAGTGGCTTAAACAAAAACTGGCATTTATTGCCCTGTGTGATGGAGAAGGCCAGGAGGTTATACACTTCAAGCATGGCTGGATCCAGGCTTCTGACATCAGGGATGTGTTTCCACATCTGGGTTCCATCTTCCGCTCTCTGATGACAAATGGCCACTAGCACCTCCAGCTTATACCCTACCCCTCTGAAAAAGAGATGTTTTTTTCCCAATCGTCCCAGCAAAAGTCTAGGGAACAAATCTCAGTGGACCAATAGACCAACTTCATACCCCTACCTCTGTGTGTCAAGGGGCTGGGATAACACTGACTGGCTAGGCCCGGATCTCATGTCCCCATCTGTGTCCCCCAGGTAGAGGCATTCAGAATGGGAGAAGGGTGGTCTCTCAGAGGAAAGCACAGTGCATATACCACAAATGAGCCGGGTGGGGGCTGGAGACACTGAGGCCCAGACACTGGGGAAACTAAAACAACAGATATGCTCATATTCTATCAGCATCGTGAAATAGGAGTGCACACCTCCCTCAGCCAAGAGATGGTGATACTCATTTACATATCATGTTATTATCATTCACACATTGACTTCAGTACTGGCTGCCCCAGGTATGGGGTGCAAACCCAAAAGTCTTTGGCCTGTGTGCTCTCGGTTGCAATGGGATCAGAGCAATGTAAGGAAAACCCACCAGTCACTGGAGAGAGGCCCAACACAGACCTTTTGGATATTACAGGAGCCAGAGGGGATCAGGAACTGAGAGCTCTGTAAGGCCTGGCAGGCAGCCTGGGGGAGGTAAGATTTAATCTGGGCATGAGAGGGGTGGGAATTGGATAGGCAGAGTAAGAGAAAATGGCCCATGGGGCAGGAGGTGGGGGCATAAGGTCGTAGAGCCTTAAATGCCAGGACAAGGAGTCTGGGATAAGCCTATGAACAAAAGGGAAGTGGAGAAGGTTTTTGAGTGAGAAAGGAACCTGCCAAGTGCAGTATTTGGAGGAGACGAGTATGAGGTAAAGATGGAACAGGGCAGGAGGCTGAGGTCTTTGGGTAAGGGGCTCACCTTTCTAGAAAGGGTGGAACAGGTAATAGCTGAGGCCTCAGGACCTGTGAGGCAGGGTCTTGCCTTTCCAGCTCTAAGGTGCTTCTGGGGGCCTAGCAACCCTCTCCATTGAGGGGCCTCCAAGAGCAGAGCCTGGGAAGGGAGAAGATTCCTGACCCCACCCCCACCTCATGCCCACCACACCCCAAGGGATCGGAGAGATGTAGCAGGAGCAGAGCAAGGTCCATACTGAAGTCTGGCAGGGATGCCCAAGGCCATTCTGGCCCAAACCCCTCTATAGGACCCCTGATGGCCTGCCAACTTTGACCTGGACACTCCAAAGGTATGGGTCATCTCTGGTTATTAGGACTGACTCTTCCCTATGTGAAATCACAGCCTGCCTCTGTTCCACTCAGCGTCTGTACTGGTTCTCTACTTTGGGCCACATAAAATTATTAGTCCATCCCCCTTGGGCCCCTGGAGTTTTTGCAATGGTGCCCAAACTCCCTAGGGAGTTCTCCAAGGCTCCTTTTCTGGTGGCTGGACACATGTAGTTGCCTCAAAGGTAGCCCTGTCTCCTTGAGCTCCCCACTCTGATCATCCTGTCCTCCCCTCCCCATGCTAGGCACTGCATCTTTGTTAATACAGCCCAAGCTCACACTTACCCTGAGTAGCGGTGTTTACTCTGCCTGCAGGTGAGAATGAGAAAGGAAAACTCAATATGCAAATCACAGTCTGCCCCCACTCTCGCCCCGTATCCCCACCGTCCCCATTTTGGTGCCCTGCCTCAAACCCCTACTCCAATAACTGAACACACATAGGTCAGGGCTACATAAGGATCTGAGCCCCAGAGAGGAAATGGGGCCAACACTGTCGCAGCAACAGAGACCTGAGAAGCCGGATTCTGCATCTGAGGGCCAAGTCACAGGGCCACCGCAGACTGACGTCTGCAGTAGAAGCATCACTCAAGTTCAGGTCAAGAGCTTGTATCCCTCAGTTCCCAAGCCAACCCTAATACAACCCCTCAGGACCCACGTGCCTCCCATTACCTAAGGTGTAAGAGACCAGGCTGCAGGTGTAAAACAAGCGTCCCTACCTCAAACTCTCTTTAAAATACAGGGGTCTGGGGCACCTGGGTGGCTCCTTCGGTTAAGCGTCTGCCTTCAGCTCAGGTCAGGATCCTAAGGCCCTGTGACGGGCCGCATCAGCACAGAGCCTGCTTCTCCCTCTCCTTCTGCGGCTCCCCGTTTGTGCTCTTGCTTGCTCTCTCTTGCTCTTTCTCACTCTCCATCAAATAAAATCGTAATAAAAAAAAAAAGAAAAGAAAAGAAAAATTAAGAAGATGCAACCACCAGCCCGGGGCTTCTGTGCTCGTGCTCCTACTCCTACTAATAAGGCACAGTATTTTCTGGGGAGGGGGTCCGTGGCTTTCGTCAAACTCTCAAAGGATCCATGACTCAGAAAGGATTAAGAGCGTCCCCAAAGAGAAGGAGCGTTCGGCGGAGAAACCTTTAGGCCACCTAAGCAGCTTGGTGACGCAGCTCCCCAGGGCCTCCGTCGCGGGGCCCCGCGAAGCCCAGTGCGGGAGGGGGATGCTGGCCCAGCTGGGGATGGGGAGCCCGGAGGAGGAACCAGGCCACCGGCGGCTGCGGTCCAGGCCGCAGGGGGATCCGCTTTGGGCGCCTCGCAGCCCGCAGCCCCGAGGCCAGCCCGCGGATCTGGAGCGGGGGGGCGGGGCGCGGGTGTGGACGCGGGGCGCGGGTGTGGACGCGGGGGGCGGGGCTCGCGCCCGCACCGCCCCCTCCAGCTCGGGAGCGGGTCGGGCTCCCCCTGGCGGCCCCGGCCCCCCGCTCCCCCGCTGCCCCGCTGCCCGGCTCCCGCGCCCCCGCCCTCAATCTCCTGCCCGCAGCCGGCGCAGGTGGGTCTCCGCGGACGCACGGACGGACGCACGGACGGGAGGACCGACCGGAGGACGAGCGGCTGGGGCGGCCGGGCGGCGGGCGGGGCGGGGAGGCGGCGGCGGCGGCTTGAGGAGCAGGAGCAGGTGCGGCGGGGGGGGGGGGACGGAGCGGCGCGCGGGGCGGGGGCGGGGGCGCGGGGCGGGGGCGCGGCGCCCACTGGCGACCTGCGTGGGGCGGGCGGGGAGCGGGCTGCGAGGCGCCGGGCCGGGTCGCGCTGGGGGCAGTGCAGCTGGGTGGGGGGGACTGAGGGCGCAGGATCCCAAGGAGACAGAAAGGACAGGAACCGGAGGGGCATCCGAGCCGCCGCGGGGCGCTAGGGGCAGGGGTTAAGAGGAGGGGCCGCACCTGGCGGCCCGCGGGGGGTCGTCAGAGCCGGAGGCTGGAGTTTGGAAGCGGCCCGGAGCAGAAGGGGGTGGTGTGAGGTCCGGCGACTTGGGAAGCTCCCAGGGGTTAAGTTCCAGGGCAGAGGAGGAGGCATCCGAGCGGGAGGCCCAGGGAAGTCAGCGGAGGAAGGGAGTGAGCCGAGATGGAGGGCAGGGCGGGGAGCAGGGGGTAGCGGGCTCGCAGGCAGGCGCAGGCACAGGCACCGGGCGGCTGCGCCCAGGTTGGCAGGCTGCTTTCAAGAAGCGGGGGGCGGGGGGGCCAGGGGAGGTGAGGATGAGTCAGGTCGGAGAGGCATCGCAGAAGTGAGGCCGGCACAGACCGAGGGTGGTCCCGGGGCAGGGAACCCCACAGTGAGGCCCAGGCCTTGGTCAGGGGGGTGCCCCCATGGGGGAAGCCTCTCCCTGGTGGTTGCTGCAGCCATGCTGTCCCGAAAAGGCATCATCCCCGAGGAGTACGTGCTGACGCGGCTAGTCGAGGACCCTGCAGAGCCCCGGTACCGAGCTCGGGAGCGGAGGGCCCGCTTCGTGTCCAAGAACGGCAATTGCAACGTAGCCCACAAGAACATCCGGGAGCAGGGCCGATTCCTGCAGGACGTATTCACCACGCTGGTGGACCTCAAGTGGCCACACACACTGCTCATCTTTACCATGTCCTTCCTGTGCAGCTGGCTGCTCTTTGCCATGGTCTGGTGGCTCATCGCCTTCGCCCACGGTGACCTGGCCCCCGGTGAGGGCACTGCGGTGCCCTGTGTCACCAGCATCCACTCTTTTTCATCTGCCTTCCTTTTCTCCATTGAGGTCCAGGTGACCATTGGCTTTGGCGGGCGCATGGTGACCGAGGAGTGCCCGCTGGCCATCTTGATCCTCATTGTGCAGAACATCGTGGGGCTCATGATCAATGCCATCATGCTGGGCTGCATCTTCATGAAGACGGCCCAGGCCCATCGGCGGGCCGAGACCCTCATCTTCAGCAAGCATGCGGTCATCGCAGTGCGCCACGGCCGCCTCTGCTTCATGCTGCGCGTCGGTGACCTCCGCAAGAGCATGATCATCAGCGCCACCATCCACATGCAGGTGGTGCGCAAGACCACCAGCCCCGAGGGTGAAGTGGTGCCCCTACACCAGGTGGACATCCCCATGGAGAACGGTGTGGGCGGCAACAGCATCTTCCTGGTAGCTCCTCTCATCATCTACCACGTCATTGATGCCAACAGTCCACTCTATGACCTGGCACCCAGCGACCTGCATCACCATCAAGACCTGGAGATCATTGTCATCCTGGAGGGCGTGGTGGAAACCACGGGCATCACTACCCAGGCCCGCACCTCCTACCTGGCCGATGAGATCCTCTGGGGCCAGCGCTTTGTACCCATCGTGGCCGAGGAGGATGGCCGCTACTCTGTGGACTACTCCAAATTTGGCAACACCATCAAAGTGCCCACGCCACTCTGCACGGCCCGCCAGCTTGATGAGGACCGCAGCCTGCTGGACGCCCTGACCCTCGCCTCGGCCCGCGGTCCCCTGCGCAAGCGCAGCGTGGCTGTGGCCAAGGCCAAACCCAAGTTTAGCATCTCTCCGGATTCCCTGTCCTGAGCCACGGTCCCATGGGCCCCCACACTGCTTGTGCGCACAGGGCAGTATGGTATG